GATCAAGTAAAGCTGGCTGTGTCTTATTCACAGTATTCATAAGACCTTGTCCATAAAGTTCATTAGGGAAGTTTATATGATTCGGTAAAGTCGATGATGACAAATTTATACCATTCATAGGCCTTGGACCAATATATTGTACTCCAAATTCTGTAACGTAGAAGTTTACAGGAGCTGTCAAAGGCTGTTGAGCCATGAACTGCATTTGCCTGTCCTGTGTGTAATATTGACCGTTATCTGTAGTTCTAGGTGGCCACATTCCAATGTAATTTATTTCTTCCATTAAATCCCTTGGCAATAAATGTGTTGGCAAATGTAACATATTCATTGAAACGTCTCCATTTACACTATTTTGAGGAATACCATTATGACTCGTAGTGTTCGTTAGATAATTTGAAGGTGTATAAGAAGCTGAACAGTTTGTATTCCATCCTCTAAGACTTCCATTTTCTTGAATTGTTAAGGAACTTTGATTAGGTCTGTATTCGCTATTTTGTCCGGATATCTGTAATTGCATTAATGCTTCCGATAAGTCTTTTGTTAAAGCTGCATTTCCATCTGTAGTACTGATAAAAGACTGTGCTGAAAATTCTCTAGAGGAAATTAGACCATTTGCTGGAGACTGCTGTGGCATAAATATTGCTGATCTTTCCACTGTGCTATGTCCAATATTCTCCATAGGCATTTGTAAGAATGTCCAGTCGGAGTCTAATTCGTATAGTAATTGTCCTGGTAAAAAGTCCGATGGTGGATCTGGACAAATTCTTCTAAATACTTCCAGTCTCCGATAAGATCCTGGTGCAGAAACTACTTTTAATTTCTGGAAAATAATTATATCGGTTAGAGAAAATCAGTAGTATTTTTGAAATTATGTAAAAATATTATATAACCTGACAAGTGGTACACATATCGAGCAAACAGATAGGTGATCCAAAAATATATTTATTGCCCCTTTTCTAATATAAATAGTATTAATTATATGTCTTTATTGATAATTTCGTCCAAGGTACAAAAACAAACAGAAGTAATAAATTTTTGGATATTATGACTAAATTGCTGTTTATCACCAATAAAGGCTAGATGCAATTTGAAAATTTTTTTTTTCAATATCTTTTCTAGTTAGTAAGAAATTAAAATTATATTAGTATTAACTAAGTTTCGGTTTAATATCACTAACAGTTGAAGAATTAAAACTTAAATTTGAAAGTAGCATAAAATAGCTGAATAGTTTTGACATTCCAATATCCGATGTATTTTTCACCCTCCTATTTGTAAGGGGATATTGAATAGAATAAAGAATACATTAAAGTTGTTACATAATTTAACAAAAAGCATATCTCACCAGTTTCATGTTTAATGTTGATTTCTTAAGTTTCAAATAAATATTCTTGACATGCGCGCGTTACATCAAAATGGTCGTCGTTGCATAACTGAAACAGGAAACTGTATTATCGGCAATACAAAACAAAAACTTTCTGTGCCAACTAATATAAATTATGTAAAATCAGAATACCACTTATGTTACTATGGAGGGTGAACATATTGTATTTCTAATGGCCAATTGCATAGTAAATGACACTTAATGAACTTAATGAACTTTAAGGGAATGTATCACCCCTAGTATTGTAGGTTGACGATATTGCTCTTATAAGTTCGAATTTCTACTTTAAAAAATCCCATTTATTTAAATTCATAAAGAAATTGGTATAATATGCATTTTATGTTTCTTTTTTTTTACATGCTGATTTTATAGGTAGATAAGGTGGCAGAGCGTATTAAAAAAAAATAAATAATATTTTTATTGATAAAATTATTTAATACCTATCTCTATCTCTATTTACTGAGGTTAGTATTTTGTTAATATTTAAAAGATATGTACCTAATAAAATATTTATAATTTTTTTGTCACTAACAATATTTCAACAAATAATATCTAAATAAATTCAACGGGGACTTATAATTTCTCGCATAGAAAAGCTCTAAACTAAAATAAATCTAGAAAAATTTTGGCCCCTTAAATTAGTTTGTAAAATTTGTTTATTGCTATTCCTTATTCTGGTGGCATTTACTGCAATTATTTATTAATTTCAAAGTTGCATTGACCTATCTACAAAAATATAAGCGCAATAATAAATGAAACGGGATTTTTGTAATGAGACCCATAAGTTAAAAACGTGTTTTGAAACGAATTATCGAATATTATAATCTGCTTTCACGTTCCACGATTAAATTAATTTATTGTAAGTAGTGTAACCGCTCGGAAAAACCCGAATGAATTAATTAGTCTATTCTGTGGGGCAATATAAAAAATTTGGCTTAAGCAGTGGCGGCATTTTTACGCCTACCGTAACATCCATGATTTTGATTAGTTTTACAGTGAATAATAGTCAAAAAAATTCGTAGACCTGAAGCGAAGTCGTGTTTATTAATACAAAATTATTGTACTCTTAAATGCACTTAATAGGTACTGAGGGGAGTGATAGATTAAGCCAGACAATTCTTAACAGTCTAGTCAGACAAGAAAAACTTTTTGTTTGCATCAACCTCGGACGCCTCTGATTAAATCTTAAAACATTATTACATAATAGGTATAATGTAAACAAATAGAAGCTAAAATAAAACAGAAATATCGAGAGAAACTCCCCACGTACATTCAGGAATGAGTCACACCTCTGTACATTTCTTGAATGACGTCTTAAAAGTAACGATTGTTGTAAAAGTAGATTTTAATTTCCAGGGACGTAAATTCTGAAAACAAATTCTGAAAATATGTGTTATTAACGTATCGATGTTCTCAAAGTTAAAAACTGAAACAAGAAAAATGACTAAACAGTTTTTGCATAAAACTTTGAAGGTATTTTTTTAATTTTGGGTGCTTCATATAAAATTAACTGCTACAGATAAAAATAAAAATTTGTAATATTTATGGAACGTGATAAAATAGTATTTTTTTCATCTAGATCCTATAATTATAAATTTAATAAAATATTCAGTGAGGCATGCAGGTGGCTTACACAATCGATATGATATACCTATTAAATGTAAATTTGTGGTTAAAGAGGGCTTGTTGCGTTGTATATTTATCATGATTTATGGGGAAAATAATTGTTTACATTAGTGGGTGATTAGTGGATACTGAAGATATCAAGGAAATATATACTGGATGTTATTTTTGCGCAGTTTAACCCAAATTCATAATAATCGTCTACCATCTATTTCAATGCGAAATTTTTTAACATATCAAATGAATGTCATAAAATTAAAGCAGCAATAACCTCATCCCGTTCACATAATTAGGTACCTACCTACCTATTGTAACATTACTACCTAATAATTGTTTGCGTTATTTTCAAATTGTGTATTACCTCGACTTGCTTTGTTTAAAAAACATACTGCTCTTGACAATAACGGTATACAAGCAATTAAATAAAGATAATGAAGAACATTATCTACTCAGGAAACTAATTTTTCTATGCTATATTACCTTGAAGCTGTTGTTAAAACCTTTTATTATGCACACATTTATAAAATAACGGTATTTCGAAAATGTAATGTTCAATTCGGCATTATAAAACTATTTTTCATTTCGTCTCTAAACTTCAAAATTCAAAACAAATAACAGGAATAATTTTTAATAATTCTTACAGAAAATAACTTTTTAGAAGAAGAGGAAGAAGTTTAGAAGGGCTGTCCAAAAATACAAGATACAGGGCCTTCAGTTAAATGTAGCTTCCGATTGTTAACATAAACAAGATGCATTTTATATATATAGGTATTAAAATAAATTAATGCTGTGGTTTATCATATATTCTCTGTTGTATTATAAACTATTGCATATTTAAATTATTAGTTTGCGGTTAAAACTACAGATTTTGCAAAATCTTATTTACTTTTATTATATAAAGAAAATTATATAGAAGCTAAATCTAATCGTACTTATGTGTACAATATGTGGTTTTTATATGATACAAATTCAGTCAAATTAAGACATATATATCATATTCTTAAATTAAGAAATTTTTCTTCCAAAAAGATTTATTTATTTAATTAAAAACATTTTATATGGTTCCAGATTATAATAAGCTTATATAAAAACAAAAAAATTATTTGTTTGCGAGTAGGTATGTAAATAGATTACAATTTTATTGCAATCTTGAGCAAAGTAAAATTTCTTCTTTAATGGATTTACACAGAAGGAAAATTGATTGATTATGATATGAGTAAAAGCAGATAAATATATTCTTGATTCAAGATTTTTTTGCATTTTTTTTCTTAACGAGACAGATATTTGTTGAATATAAAATAACTGTAATTGAATCGTTACACATTTTTATAATTTATCAAGAACTTATATAGATCAATTACTTTACAATTGCTGCCCGGTACTTTATTTAACGTTAGTAGGTAGTTGTACAATTCTACAAAAATGTTATTTTATTGCAATATCCTGAAAAATCAGGATAGGTACCCTTTGACTTTTGATTTCAATGTTCAATTATTCACCTACCTGTATATATGCAAGTCATGATATGGTAAAATCATATTATTTCCAAGTAAAAGCCGAACTAATAAACATAAGCTGTAAGAATTATTTTGTTTGCTGTACATCCTAGTTTCTGAGAACGAAACAATACTGATGCAACGAACGGAAAAACTAATTATATGTAAATGCCACATTTAATAGCTAATTGTTTATAGTATTTGGTGACTGAAAAGATTTGATAACTGAACTATATGCTAATAATCTGGACAAAAAAAAAACTTGTTTTAACATGAAATTGCAATTAATTACCACTAAAGTTGTTTGTTCAAGGCTAAGATATACAATTTTTGTAGATGATATTAAACCACAGCAATATTTTGCGGTTTCTTACTTACTTCTTCAGCGATAAGCTTCTAAAAACAATGTGGGTTTCCCTTTCTAAGAATCCACTACTATAATGATGGTTTGGGGCCATACCCAGACGTCTCGTGTCGCACATTTTAAATAAAAAGATTACAGCCTCGCGTCGCCAGTCAATTCTCGATCCTCAGAAGAATAAGAGGGTTTAGAGTGTAGCTATCTTATATATATCAGTGAAACACATCTTTACTAAAAACGTTTTCATTCACAATCATGGTATGTATTTTACAATTTTTTTTTATATATTCACTACTTATGATGAAGTTACATATTTTACTTATATGCTGTTACTAAACCGTGAAGAATTTTATAAAATGTAATCAACATAAACTACCTAGGTACTTGTCTTCGGTTTCTAATTTTTTTTTTTGTTTTGTTTCAGAGATCGTTAGTAATTTTCGGTTGCGTCGTGGCCCTAGCAGTAGCCCAACGCCCTTCTTACGCAGGAACCAGCCAAAAGGTGTATCCAGAACTACATAGCCGTTTTAAGGACACCGAGACTTCAAACTCACAATCCTCCGTTGACACAAATAGTATAGCCAACAGAATTGGAGAAACCGAGTCACAAACTACTATAAAAATACCAATAGATGCTCGTGGAGACGAAGAATTAGTGAAATGGCTCAATACATGGCCAAGGGAGAATAGACCTTTTTGGTTATTAAATGCTGAGCACATTGAAAAATTCAGGGATCCTCAGGGAAGCAGGAATAAACAACAACAAGTTCGTCTGAGGTCCTCTTTTGATGATGACGATGACTTTTCTCCATTTGATGATAAATATGTGAAGCCCACACAGTCGAGGCCGTCGTTCTTAAGCAGTTTGGGACGATTATAAACTTGATTTTATTTAGAGAGTGATATTATGGGCTGTTACATTTATGTATTTTTTTTTGTCAAATTAACTGTATTATTGTTTAAAATAATATTGTTAAATCATGAACTATTTAAAGTGTGAATAAAGTGTTTTTATTTTTATATAATTTTTCGCCTTTTTAATAAGTATTACATATACTATCCCACCTTTTTAACCTACTTTCAAGAGCGGAAGCGGACAACAGTAAATGCTTATTGGTTTTTTTATTAGCAATGTGTAGAGATGATATGTTATTTAAATAAATACAGAATTTATTTAAATGATATTACAAAATGACTCCTGTGCCTCAATATACTTTTCAATACGTATATATCATTTTACTCTGTGAAATATTCCTGTATAAAAACGACTTTCATTTTTGACTTGTCATTATGTGACATCCTGTATAATTCTAAATTTATCTAAGCATAACATCTCATAACTAAAATTAATATATAATTTATAAATGCAAACAAATTAAAGGATTACTTTTGTTCAAAATAAATTTTGCCCCTTAAAAATTACAAAAAAAAATGTAATGGCATTCCACAATGTTCGACGAAAATCTAATCAGCATATCTCATACAGTTGAATGAATTTTATTCAAATTGTGGACACAAAAAGCTTTCTGCAATAAGTATCAAAATAGTTTAAAATATTTTGATTTTGAAGTCCGATGACTTTTTAAGGAAACAATACTATGGTAATTTGATCTAATTCGATTTATTTTCATGCAAGAAAGATACTGTTATAATATGGCCGAATATTTTTTGGGCACCCCGTATACTAAAGGTACACTCATTTATGTTTTTCTCTGAAATCCATATTCTATAAAGAACCCATCCTCAAAAAAGGTGTCATAATATGTCACTGGGAAAGATGGTATCTCAAAAATTTATCTCTATTAAATTTCAAAATAAAAGGCGCTAGGCTCATAGAAAAATCATATTAATTTTTGTCCTATCAGCTCTTGAATTTATGGTATTTTGTTCCAAAATACCCTGTATACTGGTTTTATTTGTATTTACATGTACTTTAGCATTTATTTTATAGGTATAATTATTACATTAATTTATTGTAGTGAAAATCACTGGTTTGACTTAATATACGCACATTCACCTCGTTTCAAAGATAAAAATTATCGAAACATGATAATATGTATTAAAAAAAGCAAACGGAGTATGAAACTATTTTTGTGATCTGTGTACATCGGAGGCTGTTCCAGTGATGGACTTTGGGGGAGAGGGGCGTTTCTATAACTAATGTCTAAAAAAAAAAGTTATGCAATCAGGAAAACTGAGAGACATAAACTTTTTAATCTTCATTCATTTATTTTACTAAAAAAAAGTTAAGCAGTCAAGAAAAATTTTTATCTTTATTAATTTATTATCTGACTTTTTTTTCGGACCATTGGGGGGGGCGGTCGCCCCCGTCGCCCCCTTAGATCCGCGCCTGTGTACATTTGAAAATTCAAATAAATCTAATTGAAATAGCAAAATAAATCCATACAGAAATGAACTTAGATGATAAACTAGCTGGGCTGAGCTTTGTAGAAAACACAGGGCACAGGTTTTTAATCATACTGGTATAACTCATACCTAGTTTCTTATATATCTGAAAGTACTTTATTTAAAAGTTAGTGATTGTATCCAGTTATTTTGCTAATGCGTCCAACAAAAATAAAATTGAATTAATATTATTTCAATGCATGATTTACTTTCTTAAAAAATCGTCTCGGTATATATTGTTCCATTGTAATACAGGAAGGAAAAATAAAAAAGTTATAAATATGTATAAGTAAGAAAAGTATGGATAAAATTTTCCAACCGGAAGAATGAAGGGTTTACCAGTTTTAAATGATTTCTGCAAAATAAGTTTCACTGTCCCCGTATTTTATCCATTATTCGTTGAATCATTACAACTAGTTTATTTATTTCAATTAAATTGAAATCGTCTGACAGCGTATTAAAAACGTGATCTAAGAATTCTAATAGTGCCTTAAAAAGAAATTGGATTTTCCTTTGTTAATTCCAACTGCCCATCACCATGCCTGGGGCTATATAGAATCCTTGACGCAAAACAACAATCTCGATAAATACACGACTTATAGTCTTATTGCTCATTCATTCCAGTAAACTTCTACACAGTAAATGCATAGGCGCTTTTATAATTAGTGAAATTTATTTAAAATTCTATAATCTCCAATAATGGTAAGTAATAAATTAAATTAATAATTATAAAATATTTATTTACGCATATTGGGAGAATTTGAACATTAAGAAACCGGTATTTTATTTTACACTATAACTTGTTTAACTTCCCTATGCCTTGTTGGTATAATGTATGCGTTAAATATTATAATGAAATATAAAACATTCCATTTTTTTTATACCTTTGAAACATTTATTTAATAGTTCGCATTTTACACTCTCGAGTAACAATAGTTGGTAATTTTTATTATAATTTGGCACGAAAAATGTATTATTATTAAAAATAATTTTGTTGCCAGTCGTAATATCATAGTGACTAAAAAATGAGATCTTAAAATGAACTATGTACCTATGTGCTTCATATCTTGACCCCCTACTTATAGATAGCTATAAGAGAAACAGAATAATCGGTAATATACGCACTGAATACTAAAAATGGAACAAACTATACTTTTGTTTTCATTTCATCACTTTTTAAATTATTTGTAATTGTTTTTTAGAAAACCATTGTAATCTTTGGATGCATCATCGCGTTGGCAATGGCTCAAAGACCATCGTTCGCAGGAACGAGCGCAAAGGTATATCCAGAACTTGCCAGTCGTTTTCAAGACACTTCATCCAACTCTGAACCTTCATCTATCGGTAATAGCCTTGCTAACAGGGTTGGTGAAACCCCCAAGATCTCTACGACTACCCAGAAACTTCCCCATGACGTTAACGTGGTGAATAGATTTAACCAGCAGCCGTACGATTCCAGACCTTATAAACGTTTACATCTCGCAGGATCAAGGAACCATTATTAATACTTGCGATATTTAGACTGATATTTTTTGTAATTTTTTATTTATATTGACAAAAATAAACCTTTGTATCATGTTTCTGTGGCGTTTTACGAAGAATATACGATGGCTTTTATTCCATTATAATTTCCATAGTAGGCTGCTACCGGCAAAGCGATTTCGGTAGAAAACAAATGCTGCATAGCTCTAACGTAACCTCTTTTTCGTGTGCAGTTCGCGTGCGGCGTGGCTTTTTGTAATTCGGAGTGCATAGTGCATTATTCGTGTGAAATATTTTGTGACAGCGACAGCTAGAACGTCGGTGAATTTGTAAGTAGTTTTATTTCATGTTTCCACAACATAAATTTTGTAAAGTTCATTTCAAGCGTGAAGCGTCATCCACTTGCGCAGTGGTAAAAGTTTCCCATCAACTTACTGAATTTACTACAATATGTAAATGGAAATCAAAATAAAATTTTGCAAATTGTTTTATATTATACGATTTCTTATAATTCAAATGTGTATTTCGTGGCTGAACCGAAAATGAAATGTTGATTTTTATTTTTAACTTTCTTTTCCACTAACGCCAGGAACATATCGCAACGAAACTGACATCCACTCATGCGCATATTATACAGGCATTGGGGTTTTACCACCACATAGCACATAGTTCTAGGGTTTTACAGACTTATATAACCATAAAACATAATTTTGTAAAAGTTATGGAAATTGCATTGTATAGCAAAATGTACCTATTCGTAATATCGTAATTCCTATATCCAAGCCAAGGATAAAATATTTGTCAACAAGATTTTATGGTAAATACTGTAAATAGGTCATAGGTCCACAACTTCTAATTTATTTTGTATTAATCAATTTATTGCTAAAAGTACGGTTAGTAATGTTCAGGTTGATGTAATTTACACAGATTTTTCCAGTGATAGGTTGGATGATGGTATTTTACTCAATAAATCAATTCATTTTGGGTTGCCCTATTTATAAAATGTGTTCATGTCATATTTGTCTAACAGAATACAGTGGGTTTATTTCAAGAGGGGTAAATGTAATTTGGAATACATCAAGGTTCCATGTTTAGGCCAATGTTAAAATATAATGTGCAGTATTTCCAATTGCTTTAAATTACAGAAATCCTTAAATAACATGAATTCCCGGTCTGCTGCCAATAATCTAGAAGAACCCCTAAGTTTGCCCTGATGTTCATTTCGGTTTTTATTGTATCTAAGGCCTCTACAGACGGAGCCGCTGGTCAGGTAATGGTGACCCTCTGAGATGTTCTGTAGTGACCTCTGCGAATGTTCGCATCCAATTATTCTCAACATTTTTTCGTTCTACATTCTCGGCATCATCAGATGTGACTCTTCAAATGCTTCGCGGTGTCTCAGTCACTCAAGTATTGGATACGACCAGTTGCAGAGGACACTACGGAATGTTTCAGAGGATCGCCATTACCTGAGGAGCGATTCTGTCTGTTGCGGACATAGACATAATAAGAACCAAAATGTACATCAAGGTCGATCTAGAGATTCTACCAGCAGGTCTGCCACCCACAGAGTTTAGCCCGAGAACAACAAGGGCAGATCAAAGATTCCTAGTTAAGGCTAAGGAAGTGAAAGGTAATTTGGTAACTGGCAGCGACCTGTTACACATACCAAGGCATTTCAACCCAAAAAACAATCGTACATTAAATATATACAAATTCTCATCTTTACACTTTATATTAATAATTATAGTCTGTAGAACAGAAATTAAATATTTAACTGTTCTTGTAGCTCTTTAAAAGAAGGATTTTCTAGTATCCATTTTACATTTGTTTTATTATAAAATATATTGTCTGTTGTGACTTTCCGTTCAATAAAGTATACTGCATGTTTGTATTTTATATTTTTTATATTTTGATGCAATCTGTATTTTCTAAATTTGTTTTGGTATTATGTTGTTTTCTAATTACTTTACTGTGGTATGTCTGATGTACAGGGTGATTCACTATATTTTGACCCCCCCCTTTAAATTTTTTGTTTTAAGACAAAAGTTGCAAGATTTTTATGAAGTTTTCGAAAAGATAGTACAAAAACATATGAAGTCCACAGAAAATGGAGGCGGATGTTAACTTTGTTAATTTAAATGGAACACCCTATATATTTTTACATATTTCACGGCCTACCATATAACATTGTCCATGAGTAAATAGGCCTCTCACGGCCTAATTAGTGAGATTTAGTAAAAATACCTATACGCATTTTGGTTTATGTTAATGTCCGATATGTCAAAATATATTACAGCTAAATCGAAATCCTTACGTAAATGGAAAAAAGGCAAAAATCCCTGAAAGAGGTCTAACAATTACAAAATGTTTTATTTCTTAATAAAAAAACTTCTTTTCATTTTTTAATATTATCTCACTTATTGTTAGAGATGGACCCAACAAATCCTATATGACTATTCTCGATAGGGAACGTTCTATCCAAATATGTAAAAATATACAGGGTGTTTCATTTAAATTAACAAAGTTAACATCTGTCGCCATTTTGTTTGGACCTCATAAATAATCGTGCAACTTTTGTATTTCACATTTTTTATCCCTTAAAACAAAAAAATTAATGAAGGTCAAAATATAATGAATCACCATGTACATATATTTGGAAAATAAAATAAATATACATGATGCGTTCAACAGTACTGATTACAAGGTTGATTAGTTGTCTCATATTAATGGCCAAACGCTACTTTTTTTAAATTCATAAAATAAGTAGATTGTTGTTACTTGTTATAAATGTGTGTTGTTTTCAATACGAAATGAAACAATAGTAAAAAATTATATATTTTTTATTTTTACATAGTATGATACAATTTTGGTTCGGCTTTGCAAAAGCAATAATGCACTTTTTTTATGAAACTTAAATAATGAATAGAGATGGCACAATGAAGAAATGGCTTTAAGCACTTTCACACTAAATAAATAAATAATAATCTCTTTTCATACCGTTAAACTAAAATTTTCGGCAATTCTGCTCCGTATTTTTTTTCGGAAAATGAAATGAGAAATAAATGTAATGCTGAGCGCAGCTGCTTTCGTTGATAAGAAGTGATGAATACAGAAGCATGGATATATCGTCAACACGGAGATGGTAAGTTGAGGATGCTGTGGACGATATAAGCAGACAATTTGTAGTTACCACTTCTTCCCGGAAGCTCGCTTTATATAAAACACTTATAAATATATTATTTATACATATGTTACATAAGTTCTTGGAGCAAGTCGTTCGTTAAATTGCGTTATTGGCTTAGTCAGAGCTTCATCTAGAGCTCGCCAGGTGGGACAACATTTAGCGAGAAGGCCGAAAAGGTTTCACCTTTCTTTCCGATGGCTTTGGCTTGATATTGGCCAATATCGTTGGAATCGCAAGACAAAATTTGTAAGGTGTAGCGTTTTCCATCAGCAGTGAAGTTATATTTGGCACTGCTCTCTTTTATTGGTTTGCCATCCTTCAACCAATTTATTTGTAATGGGTCATCTTCTGTCTCTGCTATGAATGTCGCGGATTCACCCTCTGACACCTACAGAAATAAACAGATAGGTATACACATTCATACAGATTTGATTATTCGTTTTCTTACCGTGGCGGATACCGGGAATGTTTTGAACACGGGGCTCTTAGGCTGTTCGCCTGGAACAACAACATTTAGTGTACAACTGCTGAAACTTTCACCTGCATCATTGAATGCTTCACAGGTGTATGCCCCCGAATCTTCTGGGAAAATTTCGGCAATGATGAGTTTGTAGATATTTGCTTCATTTGTGTATTGGAAGTCTTTCGAAGGTTTAATTTCTTTATTGTTGTGTAACCAGACAACGTCGAATTTGTCGGCCCCAATAATGCGGCAAGATATAGTTACAGGTTCTCCATCTTTCGCAAATGCTGACTGAAGATGGCTGACTATTCTTGGTGGTTTGTCTTCTGATCCTTTTTTCTTTCCATTGGTAGCATTAGTCATGGCTAAAAAATGTTTCTCGGTATATAAAAATTACTTTACATTTCAGATATTACTCACGTTTAATTGTAAGGCGGCATTTAGTTTCTGTGGTTCCAATGGAGTTTGTTGCTTTGCATACATATTCTCCTTCGTCTTCAGGGTATACCTCATTGATATGGAGTTTTGCTATTCCATTTTTGTATTTAAGATCTACTACTTCAGATGAGCTAAGTACTTTGTTATTCTTTGTCCATACGATTTGTGGATCGGGATCTCCTTTTACGTGTGCAGTCAAAGTTAAACTGTCACCGTCGTTAATTGTTAGGTCGGATAGCGTCTTTGTGAATTGTGGAGCACACATAGTTGAATCGTCTGGGGGTACTGAAAAACAAAACGGGAATCAGCACCTAACTACCACTCACAGTACACTCATACATACATGCTAATTCCTTGGTTGCGCTTCTTGATCGATTCGGACTTCCTGTAGAATCTAACCTACCGTATTTCCTAGGCGGTCGTCGTTCCCCATCTCCAACGCTAAGATTGGACGATGAATGTGCTAGACTGTTCGTGCTAGGGTTATTAGATCGCGGTTGGATCGGGGTAGACTGGGGAATTTGTTTTCTAATAGTAACTGGGACAGGTGCTGGTTTAATGGGATGTTCGATATACTTTCTGTCGCCAGAGTATAGTAGTTTATTTGCGAGGGCTGTTTGTTCAGCGGTGCTGGACTCTCCCTCAACGATGACAACGCATGACGTTTCATCTTGTCCGTGTGGATTGGTAGCAACGCAAGTGTATTTGCCAGAGTCGGATGGTCTGCATCCGACGATTTCCATTGTGATGACACCGTCAGAGTGCGACATTGAATATTCGTATTTACTAAGTTCTCGTTTGTCTTTGTACCATTTCACCGATGGGAATGGCTTGCCACTCAAGCAACATAGTAGTTTGCAAGTATCACGTTCTTGCATAACACGTGGTCTAAGTAAGAAGGTAAAGCTTGGTGCGCATTCGAGTTCTTCTTGCCAGAAGGTGTACGGTAGCGGTTCGCGTCTGCGCATGACTGGTGCCTCTGGCTTATATTCAGGTACAACTCTTGGCACGGCTAGAAATCAAAAATATTTAGCAAAGATTTATTCAGCTTGTAATCATTTATAAAGGCTCTGTATAAGCAATTGTCTGTTTACTTACGTTGAACATTGAGGAAAACGACTTCTTCCCTCGAGCCGTAGTGGTTTTCTGCCCTGATGATGTATTCACCGCGATCCTGCAATCTGGCTCTGTTAATAATGAAGTAATAATCGTCTCCGGCATATCGTTTCATGAATTTAACGCTTTGTCTGAGTTCTACGTTATTGTGATACCAACTAACTGTAGGAGCGGCGACACCGATAACTCTACAGTAGAATTTGACGCTTTGTCCTTCGTAACAGAAGGCACTTTGCGGTTTAATAACAAATCTCGGAGCGGCTTGTCTACGGTCTAAAATAATATTGTAAATTTAAAAAACGTGTGAAGTTAGAGATAAAAAACTTACCAAAGTATGTATCATGGATCTTATATTTATCTATTAGCAGTTTACGTAGTGACGAGTACTCTGATAATCTGCCGATTGGAAGGGCGAATGAATCCCATGCATCATATTTGGCACGGATTCTATCACGTATGCGAAGGTATCTCGATTGTTCAATGACTTGAGTTCTGTCGCTGTGGTCACCGCTCAGCCATGAATGCAGTAAACATTCTTGGGCGGTCATACGTTTCCTAAAAAAGTATTAAATTAATTTATGGGGTTCCCCAGAATATCAATCTGAAATATATATTTTTTAATCAAAGTCATTTTTTAAACCACACATAAACTCTTGTCTATGCCGTCACTGAACAACTCCCAAACTTAATTGTATCTGCATGCTGCTTATCAGTGACAAGTGAAATTACAACGGAAAATGATTTTTAAAAGTAGATTGTTTTGTATGACTGCGACGTGTTATTTTAAAGTCATCATGTTTTTTTGTTGTGCGGAAAAAATTTTCTGTTCAGTAAATATTGACTAATTTTGGCATGTGGATATCAGAGCTGGGCAAAATACTTTCAAAATGTATTTAAAATACAAATTTCAAAATGCTAGTACGAAAGTATTTCAAAATACTTAAAAACAAAATACTTCTTTGGCAAAGTATTTTAAATATAAATTACTTAGTATTTAAAATAGTATTTTAAATATGTTGAATATTAAATATATTGAAAATATTCATTAAGAGTATTTAAAATATTTTTGTGAAATATTAAATCTGAAAAGATGTAACTTAAAAAAAATATATTGTATGTGCAAGGCAAGCCCGATTTCAAAATCAAAATTCTGGAAACAATCATTTTCATTTGGATTACTGAGATGCAGAATATTTAATTCACTCATAATCTTTTATTAGTCTTTTTTTAGAATAGCCCACTAATGATAAAAGAAATTAATTTTAAATTTTGATAATTGACTACTGACCTGACTAGTGATGATAGTGACTCAAAAGGTAGTAGAAAAAATAGCATGTGTTGTATTAGTCGTAACATGCAAAAAGTACTTGTTTTTGGTAGGTATTTTAAATACTTCATTAAAGTATTTGAGTTATAACAAAAGTATATTAATTACAAAATACAAAATACTATTTTATATTTAAAATATTATTTGGTATTTTTATTGACAAAATACTCCCAGCTCTGGTGGATACGTTACTAATTGTAAGTAAAACTTATGGATTTTTTAAAATAATTATTACCGTTTTATAAAATGTACATAATAAAATGGTCAATATTAATTTGGTAAAACGAGAATTTCGTGACCGCGATGTGATTCGCTTGTTCAGTGGTGAGGTATGAAAAAACTAAATTCATGGCAGAATTTGAGAAAACTAACTTGTGATATATATAAATACGACTCGCGTTCGGAGTTATACTTGTTAATAATGAAACTTACTCTTTGTTCTTGAGTAGCAGTCTGCGAATGAAGTCCTTTCCTTCTTCAGATACATTGGCGAATGCTTCTTCGTCGAAGTCCCAGTCGCAAGCCTTGACATTCTTCAGAGTCTCGATATCGTTTTCTCCAGCAAATGGTGACAATCCGCTTAATAGAACGTAACCCAGAACACCAACAGCCCACATATCCGTGTAGAAACCGACAGGTTCGCGTTCGACAATCTCGGGAGCTGCGAATTCAGCAGTACCGGTTGAAATCTTAACAACCTCGTTGGGATCTAGTTTCGTGGCTAGCCCGAAATCGATCAGTTTGATATTAGTGCCTTTACGTGTTTGACACATGATATTTTCCGGTTTGATGTCGAGGTGGATGATATTTTTCTCGTGCATGTGCTTGATACCTTCACATATCTGTCTCATGTAGTTGATAACCTCGGCTTCAGACATCTGGTAGCCTTCGGCTGTGATACGTTCGAATAATTCTCCTCCGGATAAGAATTCGTAGATGAGGACCATTTCGTCGTCGTCTTCAAAGGCGTCGTGTAAGTTAATGAGTTTGGGATGGTGAAGTTGGTTCATGATGTCGATTTCTTTACGTATCAGTTCTTTTTCCATGGCGTGGGATACGGGGATGAACTTGGCGGCGAAGATATTTCCCGATTTGCGTTCGCGGCAACGGTGCACAACACCGAAAGCGCCCGTGCCGATTTCTTCTAGGATGTCGTAATCGTCGTATACAGATCTAGTCTTAATTTCAACAGGTTGTGGGACGAATTTCGAGTAAATATCGAACACGTACTGGTCGTAATCCTTGATCGGCTCTTTGTGAGATTCACGGATCTTCTTGCCGTTTTCATCGACTTCATATTTCCTCTTCTGGACTTGTTTCTTGACAGTGTCCTTGGTGGCGATGAGGTTGCTCACGTCTGAAGGATCAGAACGTCCATAGATATTTTCAGCGTAGACCCTGAATTCGTATTGGTGACCGGGTGTAAGACCGCTGACAGCCATAGTGGTTAGACGTGTATTTCCAACTCTAATCCAGGTTGATAACGGGTGCTCACGTCTTTCAACGAGATAATTGGTGATGTTGCTACCGCCGTCCCATACTGGAGCTTTCCAGGACAATGCGAGTGAGTCGGTACCGATATTATCAGCAGCCGGGAATCTCGGAGGGTCGGGGCGATCGGCGATTTGGATCTTAATAATGGCCGTGTCTTGACCGAGTTCATTCTCAGCGGTTATTCTATATGGACCGCTGTCTAACTTGCTGGCATCGCGAATTGTGAGAATGGCGTGTCTGTCCTTAACTTCAACGTGGTAGTGGCCGCCGGATTCGATGACTTCGCCTTCTCTCACCCAAGTGATCTTTGGTTTGGGGAAGCCGGTGAACGGAATTTTAATAACAACGTTCTCACCCTTGTCGAAGTACGCAGAGTCTCGGAAACGAGGGGGAATGTTGAGTTTAGGAGCAGCTGGAAATAAAGGATAAATTTAGCTTGTCGTTTTCAAATGTCACATTTACCAGAAAATAATGCTTATACATGGTCACCGTTGAGGTGTACATCATTGCGACCACCTAAATTAGATGTGATATTGAGTTGGTTTAATTAAACAGAGAGTTTGCCTTTTCTTCTATAATTTTTTTAATTACTGAATATAGTGAATAAAATTCGATGTATCAGGTGGAAGTCACAATCTTCATTTGTTTTTCTTTCTCTCTAGCTATGATGCAATTATTAAATAAACTATCAGATTGACATTTTTTTAGGGTTAATAAAATAGATTAATAAGTTTGTAATTGTAATGTTACGTGTAACTTGTAATTTTATGCTCCATTGGAATGGTGAAAAAAGCTTTTTTAACAGAGATTGATTATACACTAGGCACAGAAATTAAGGGATATTAAAAAAATACCAAAATTTTGGATTATTTACGAAGAGCTGTAACTGGGAGGGAAATGGTCGTAGAGAGAATAAAAAAAAAGGAAATTGAAGTTCCAAGCAGTGTCTAGTTTTCGGATCTGGAGTTTAAAATTTTTTAGTATCAGCAGTTTTTGAGTAATCATAAAAAAATGAACGAAAAAAAAATGTAAATTTTTGCTTTTTTTAAAAAAAGCCTATGGACTTCAAAAATTTGTATTTGGTAATTTCATAATAAAACTCTTTTAGATAATTTAATTATCTTCAATTTGAGCGGTTCCAGAGCAAAGCAAAAAAATTATTTTTGACTTTGGCTATCAATTACTCGGGAAATAATGGTAGTACAAGAAATCCAAAGAAGGTTTTGAAAACTGCAAAGTATTTTCTACAAATCGCAATTATTGGTTTTTGATAAACAATTTTTTTTTGAAGTGAAAATGTTGGTTAGAAAAAAGGTAAAAAAATGCATAATTGGGGATATTTGAATAACTTTGCAAATAATTAATAACCAAAGGATATTGACTGTAACTGTTCGACCTCAAAATGTCCTAAAGAAACCCTGATAATTTCAAATCTGCTGAAAATCAATGTAATAAGTAACTTTTTACTTTTTATTCATTTTTTTAACTTAAAAATGTTTTTCAGCAACAATCCATATTTTCTTCATCAAAAATCGTTCATGATTCTAAAAAAAATGAAAAAAAAAGTCAAAAATTATTTTATTCAAATTCTTTTTCTTAGTGCCTGGAATGTTTAAATTTGTCGTTTTTGTCGAACAAAAAAACTCGCTGCGATTTGAAATTATCAGTTTCTTTAGGACACAGGTTGAAAAGTTACAGTAGTCAATAACCTTAGTTTATCCATTCGTTGCAAAGTTATGCCAAGTTATTCAAATATCCCTAATTATGTAATTTTGTACCTTTTTTCCATATGCATTTTTTATGAAAAACAAAAATTTGCAATTTTTTTTTCGTTGATTTTATTATGATGAAAACTAGACACTTTCCTTTCAATTTCCTTTTTTTTATGGTCTACGACCATTTCTCTCCAAGTTACAGCTCTCTGAAAATCACCCAAAATTTTGGGATTTTTTAAATATCCCCTAATTTCTGTGCCTATATAGTGTAAATTACTTTCAGTTAGTTAAAAAATGAAAGAATTGGCATGAAAATTCATAATTTTTTTGCATTTTAACTAACTTAATGGGGTATTTTTAAACTTTTCAACTACATAACAAACTGAAAATAGGTTAAAAAATATATGATCTATATATATTTTTATTTTGACTACATTAAACGTCCTAAAAAGAATTAAAATATGCGTTGTGACGTCGTTCTGTGAAAATTTTAAATCTAGCGCCTTTTATTTCCTTCAATTATTGAAACTGCAGTGCCCTCTAGTGGAATACGCGGAAACGTCGGATTTACATTACAGATTCCAACCAAAGAACATATTTATAGAATTATTACTAAAAAATTGCTGCAGAAATCGCTAAGAGTTATGCCTTCTACATTTAGAGTTTTCTTTTCAAATGTTTCTCTTTTCTATAGCAAATAGGCAACCAGCAATACATTTTTATGAACAAGCGGCATCGAAAATTACAATTTCTTTACACCAAAAATTTGAGTTTCAAACTAACTCCATTTTATGAAAAATCTGCGTTAGAACGGGGAAAAGTCTGTTATTCGTGCATTAATTCATATTTAGACAAACTGTGTCATAAAAATCTATCAACATGTATTGTTGGTTGCTTATTTGCTATAGAGCCCTATTAATGACTTTATTCACGTAAAATAACATTTCAAATCAAAATAAATATAATTTAAATTAACTAATTAATTTACTGAGAAGATTACAAATATATATATTTTTAGGAAATACACATTTTCTTGATGTAAAAATCTAATACAGGGTGTCCATAACAAGATGAAAGGATCTAAAAAAGCTTAATCTTTTTTAATTTTTCAACAAATAGCGCACATACCAAAATTTCCGTTTATAACAAAAAAATGGAAGAGAAAAAAATTTACTTTTTAATTTTTTTGCAGTTTAACCAAACCAACTGTTCTATTTCACCAATTTTTTCTAGTTTAGGGGATCCAAGTGGTGTAAACTTTACAGCTGACTCTCTTGTATATAAAAAAATGTACTTACTCATTATCAGAAGTTCGGCGCGGGTAGATTTTACGCCACCTTTGTTGACGGCTCGGCAAACGTATTCATCGGCGTCTTCACCGAATATATCGTGGATGATAAGGTGGTGAACCTCACCCTCACTGTAGATGTGGTATCTTGAACCGTTAGTAATTTCCCTGGCGCCTTTGTACCAAGTAATATGAGGCGCCGGATTACCAGTGATTGTACATTCGAACTTGGCGTTGTGATTCTGAATGCATTGAGCGTTTTTAAGGGGTTTGATAATTTCTGGCGGGGTAGCAGCGAGGGGATCTTTAATTTCCACCGAAGTTGAGGCGGAGGACGGTTCTGAAATTCCAGCGATATTCTGAGCGAAAACTCTGAATTCGTACTGACGTCCTTCGATAAGGTTCGATATGTTTATTTGAGTAGGTAGGCATAGCGATACGTTAACGCGTTGCCAGGCAAGGCTGCCAACTTCACGTTTGTCTATCCAGTAGCCCTGAACGCGCGCTCCTCCATCGTTTTCGGGTTTAGTCCATTCGAGATTGACAAAGTCGCCTCCGACTTGGGTAACTTTCGGTATACCGGGTGGACCTGGTGGGTCGAACGGAGCTTTGGCTCTCACCGGGTTGACTCCCTCTAGTGGCGGTCCCATTCCATTTTCGTTCACTGCCATTACTCTGAACAAGTATTCTTGACCTTCGGTTAAACCTTGCACGGTAAATGTGGTGTCTCTGCAGGAACTAGACACCGTTATCCAGTGGGTTCCCGTCACATCTTTTCTTTCAACGACGTAATGAGTTACTCGTAATCCTCCGTCGTAGCTAGGCGGTTTCCAGCCAAGCGTGCAGGTATGTTTGGTGATATCGGTAGTTTCCAGAGGTCCATTCGGTGGACCCGGTAGGCCAGTTATGTAAACTGTGAAGCTGCCCGATGCGCTTCCACTGTCATTCTTTACGGTTAAATTATAATCGCCACCGTCCAGCTTGGTGATGTCTTTAATGAAAATGATGATATAGTCGTCGAATACCGTGTATCTAATGTGGGTAGAATCGTCGATGTTCTGGCCATTTCTGGTAAGGGTGACGTCAAGGGGCTGGTCGCCCGAGTAGTAGATTTTAATTTTGGTGTTATCTCCTTCGGCCAAGTACAAATCTCCAGGAAGGCGTTCGATCCTGGGAGGAGCTGAAAATGATTTGAATTCATTAATAAATATTAATGTTATACGTATTTTATTAGATAAACCAAATTTGTATTAAGAGGGCTCTATAGCAAATAGGCAACCAGCAATACATTTTTATAGATTTTATTACACAGTTTGTCTAAATATGAATGAATGCACAAATAACAGTCTTTCCCCCATTTCAACGCAGATTTTCTATAAAATGGACTTAGTTTCAAACTCAATTTACTTTTTGATGTAAAGAAATTTGTAATTTACACCAAAAAGTAAATTGAGTTTGAAACTAAGTCCATTTTATAGAAAATTTGCGTTGAAATGGGGCAAAGTCTGTTATTTGTGCATTAATTCCTTTTTAGACAAACTGTGTAATAAAATCTATAAAAATGTATTGCTGGTTGCCTATTTAAAGAAATATTAAAAAGTTTTCCTTTCTTTGTAGAAGGGCGTAGAAGGAATAATTTGTCATTTAGTAATTTTTTTTTAAAGCATTGTGGTTAGTTTTAGATTAACTCTCAGTGTCAGTAATCTCTGATAACACAGCCACACAAAAAAAAAGTTGTCTGTACTTTCCATGCGACATATGTTATCCGTTATATTTTTGCCTCCTGATCACGAATCCGGTCAGAATTGAGTTATCACATCACAGGAATTTCCTAACGTCAAAAAACAGGTCAAAAATAGGAAAAATTCACGAAAAAGTACTAGGAAAAGTACAAAAAAATATTTTTTCTATATTCAAAGGTTCATTTATATGGTTAAGACCCCGCTGAACGTGAATCCGCGGTCAGAATTGATGGTTCTTTTTCTAACCTAAAAAAAACGGGTCAGATATCACGAATTTTCAAAAAATACCAGATTCGTGCCAAATTTGGTGTACGGGGGTTTTCGGGGTCGCTGATCACGGATCCGATGTCCATTTTGCAAAATTCAAGATGGCGGATCCAAGATGGCCGACCAAATTTTCAAAAAATAACTGATTCGCGCCAAATTTGGTATACGGGGGTTTTCGGGGTCACTGATCACGAACCATCAATTTTGACCGCGGATTGACGTTCGGCGGAGTCTTATCCATATAAATGAACATTTGAATATGGAAAAAAAAATATTTTCTACGTTTCTTAGCACTTTGTCGTGAATTTTTGCTATTTTTGACCTGTTTTTCGAGGTTAGGAAGATTGATATTATATGAAACAAGGACTTTTGACAGACATTTCAATAAAAATTGAAAAATGATGTAGCGAAGCTTTAGTGGGAAATACTTACTTCCAATCTTTAGACGTGCTGTGGTAGTGACGGCTCCTAAAGTGTTGCTTGCTTCGCAAGTGTAGTCACCGTCATCGACATCGAGAAGGTCAGAAATATGCAAGAAGGCGGTTCCTCCTCTAACTTCAGTTCTGAACCTACCGCCGATTTTAATCTCACGACCGTTCTTAATCCATCTGAAGGTTGGTTCCGGTTTGCCGTACGCCTCACATTCCAGAGTTACGGATCTGCCGAGAGGAGCAGAAGTGTTGTTGAGACGGCGTAACCACTCCGGTTTTTCGCCGCCCAGTACCTCGCATACCTTAACGGGTGTTGTGCAGTTGCTAGGTTCGCTCTTTCCGGCAGCGTTAACGGCGTATATTCTAAATTCGTATTCCGACCTGTCGATTAAGTTGAGGACGGTGTAATTGTTATCGGTAATGTTGTAGTCGTTACACTTGGTCCAAAGAGGACTGCCGATTTCTCTCTTTTCGATGATATATCCGGTGATTCTTGAACCTCCGTCGTTCGTAGGCGGCTCCCATGTAAGGTCAACGTAACCTTTACCTACGTTAACCACTTTAGGATTCTGTGGTGGAGACGGTACGTTGAATTTGCCCTTGAGTTTGAATTTGTTCGAGGACGCGGAAGGTTTACTGAAACCGGCCGCGTTTTTAGCACGTACTCTGAATTCGTATTCGTGCCCGCTCGTCATGTTGAACAGATCGAAGTGCGTTTCTTTTATGAGGTAGTCGCTGGCACTTTGCCAGTGCGCATCGTGGACAACGTCGCGGTACTCGAGTTTGTAGCCTTGGATACGTGACCCGCCGTCGTTGTTAGGCCTGTCCCACGAAAGGTAAATCGTAGAAGAATCCCAGTCGGTAACGCGAGGCGCTCCTGGTGGATCCGGGATCGTGAATGGATATTTAGCCGTGATCGGCTCCGTGCTTTCCAGAGGTTCACTGATGCCGTACTGATTCTCAGCGCGGATTCTAAAGCTGTACTTCTTGTTAGGCTCCAAGCTCATAACGTCGTAATGAGTGTTACGGACGAAACTGCTTACTTTCACCCAAATGCCGCTCGTGTCTAACTTTTCAACTATGTAGTTGGTAATCGGTGAACCGCCGTCATCTAAAGGCGGGCGCCATGCCAGCGAACAATTATCGGGCGTGATATCAGATATATCAAGTGGTCCCTGAGGCGGTAAAGGCTTGTCTACCACGAGGACACGGCACGTGGCGGAGTCGGATCCTACATTGTTCGTTAACTTGATGGTGTAACCGCCCGTGTCCGATCTCTTGGCGGATTTGTTCAAGAATATGGAAGCGATGTCTGTAGTTTCCATTTTAATTCTGTTGTCGGGGATAACTTCGTCCCCGTTAATGGTCCAAGACGCTTTCGGTTTAGGCGTAGCCACGTAGGGAACCGTAATTTTGAGTTCTTCGCCGGCGATCACGACCATGTCGCGAATGCTTAGATCTGAAGTTATCTTAGGAGCTTGCGGGGCGGCTCTGGCACATATGGCGTCGGACGACGAGCTCCACGGTCCTTGTCCGGCTGCGTTGACGGCGGCAACTCTAAATTCGTACTCGTGGTTTTCGATTAAGTTGATGACTTTAAGGTTTAAGTCTGGAACGATAGCGTGAGCGGCTTTCGTCCATTTGTCTTCTGTGATGAGACGTTTTTCGACAACGTAGCCGGTGATGGGAGAACCGCCGTCGTGGCGTGGTTTAGTCCAGGTGATCGTGATAGAATCCTCGGTGGTTTCGACTCCCCTGGGGGCTCCAGGAGCTCCCGGTGGGTCAAACGGATGTCTCGCGCGAATCGGCTCGGACGTAACGGCCGGTTCGGATTGGCCATACAGATTCTCGGCTATCACCCTGAAGTCGTATTCTTTACCAAGCGTCAAGTTGCGGATTCTGACGAACGGAACGGTGACGTAACTGCTGACTTTAGACCACGTTTGGGATTTGGCCTCTTTCTTCTCTACGATGTAATTGGTGATATCGGCGCCGCCGTTGTCCTTAGGCGGTTGCCAGTACAACGTAAGGGCGTCACCGGCAAATTCGTCCGCTCGGAGGTTCTCGGGCTTACCGGGTCTGTCGAGAACTTTCACGTTTATGGTCGCCGTGTCGAAACCCGAAGGATTCTTCAGTTGGAGTCGGTATTGGCCGCTGTCCGAACGTTTAGAGTTCTTGACGATGATGCTGGCATAATCGTCGGCAAGTTGTGGGAATACGCGGCTGTCGCTGTCGTCGAGGAGCCTGTCATTGGCAAACCACGAGGCCGTGGGCTTGGGGAAACCGACGTATGGAACGTGTATGCTGAAATCTTCGCCGGCACGGACCGTGATGTCGCGGACGCCACCTAAGTCCATACAAGGCTTGTTGGGTTGTTCTTCGATTACAATGGGATTGCTGGGTCTGCTTGGCTCGGAATTGCCAACGTCGTTGACGGCTATGAGCCTGAATTGATACTCTTCGCCTTCTTTTAGGTTAGGTACGGTGTAAACGGTATCGTTAATAGGCGAGGTATTGACATCGGTCCAATCATCGGAGCCCTTTGGACGTTTCTGTAGGATGTATCCTTTAAGTTTGGAACCGCCGTCGCTCCTCGGTGGCCTCCAGGAAAGCGTAACACTATCCTTCGTGATCCTGTCGGCTTTCGGTGGTTCGGGAGCGTCGGGTTTAAATCGTTGATGTTGGGCGATGATCGGTTCAGTCGGTTTACTGGGTTCGCCGGGTCCTGCTTCGTTGACTGCAATGACACGGAATTCGTATTTGTTTCCTTCGCGTAAGTCTTGTGCGGTATATTGCGTGTTCGGCGTGGGGTAATTGTTGACTCGTACCCAATCGCCACCACGTTCGCGTTTCTCAACATAATAGCCTGTGATAGGTTTGCCCCCGGTGGATATCGGCGGGTTCCATTTAAGCGAGCAGGAAGATGGTGTGTAGCCGGTAACTTCGGGCTGGCTCGGAGCACCTGGCGGGTCGAACGGGCTCTTCGCGACAACCGGTTTTCCTTCTAACGGCTCGGATACGCCGTATATGTTTTCGGCTCTTACTCTGAAGACGTATTTCTTTCCTTCGGTTAAACCACGTGCAGTGAACGACGGTCTCGGGCAGAAACCTGGGCAAGGACGCCAGCTGTCCGTTCCATATTCGCTGACTTCTACGATGTATCCGGTAATCTCGCCGCCACCATCGTCAGTTGGTGGGTGCCACGATAGAGATACAGTGTCTTGCGTTGTACCCGTTATTTGTAGCGGGCCTTTCGGAATGCCAGGCTTATCCACTACAATTACTTCGATGTCTCCTTCATCGGTTCCGTATTCGTTCGTAGCGCGCACTGTGTATTTTCCAGAATCGTCTCTATTGGAAACTTCGACGCGCAGTCTAGTATTTTCGCCGGTAGTCTCAGTCTGAAAATTTTTGTATAATTTAAGATAAACGTTAAAATATAATTATCGAAACACTTACGTATACTCTGTTGGATTCAGGCACAGGGATCTTATTTTTACTCCATTCCACTTTTGGAGTTGGCGCACCGGACAAGGGAATATTAATATTAATCGGCTCGCCAGCGCGTACTTTAATTTTACGCCCAATAATACCATCCAGCCACAATTTCGGTTTCTCTTTCATCGGCTTAGCAATAAAGACGTTAGAAGTGTCGCTAGGTTTGCCGGGACCGGCGGCGTTTACAGCAGAAACTCTGTATTCGTATTGGTGTCCCTCTTGAACTCTATCGTCGTAATATTCAAGGTGCTTATTAGGCTCCTTGTTAAGTTTAACCCATCTACCGGTAGCACGGTCGCGACGCTCAATGTCATAACCGACAATCGGAGATCCTCCGTTGCTGATTGGAGCAGACCACTTGATCTTAATGTGGTCCTTGTCGCTATCGACCAGCTGTGGCTTGCCAGGCTTACCAGGAACATCTAAAACGATATATTTTAATAGTTTTACTCCCTAAATTTAGATAATTTAAATCCATCACAGATTACCTGTGCCCTTTAACCTATTTAACAAAACAATTTTTACTAAATCAATTCAAATAGTTGCCGAGATAATTGGATAGTTATTATAGACCGTGAGCTAGCGCACATGGGTCCTCTCGAGCCCCACGTTGGGCGCCAGATGAAATAGTTTTAGGTGTGGCTCATACTTTAAATAAAGGCCATTTTTCACAAAAGTTTCCAATATTTCTAGTGGCTTGCTGGAATAAACCTAATACTGTAATAGACCGTGAGCTAGCGCACATGGGTGTGGCGTCATCGAAAAATGTCTGGCATTTTGAGGTTTAAAAAAGTTAATTTAGTTAATGAAAATAAGGGTGGTTTTAAGGGCCGACCCGTGTTCGAAAATTTGGAAAATGAATTTGCTTTTGCATAAAATAATTAGTTTTTCACTAATCTTAAATAGCCGAAAGGGTGGTTCATACACCCCCCTATGAACTTGCAAGAAGAAAAAACAATTCATTGTTTACTTTTTGTCTGGCAATCGAAACAATGAAAATTTTTGTTTTGAAAATGATAAAAATAAATTGCCAGACCGTTTCCAATGTTCGGAGTCGAGTATCTCTGCGGAAAATTATGTGAAAATTTTTAACATTTTTCAGTGATCTTAATGTACAAAAAAAGAGGGCCATTGTGTTTGCGGTATTATAAAATGTTATTCATTTTTCAATGGCAGACAAATTGGCCGGTTCGAAAATTTATAAATAAATAAAAAAGGTGTGAAAAAATTTATAAAAATTTCAATAATTTATTTTTGTCTGCCATTTTGCATTTCAATTAGAAATGCGCTTATAAACACAACATACAAATGCAAGATAAGTTGAGCCGTTCGAAAATATATAAATAAATTAAAATGTTACAAAAAAATTTACGAAAACTTGTTTTTTTTTCTAATTCAAACGATTTGTATTTGTCTGGAATTTTGCATTTCTATTGAAAATACATATTTATACTTCAGGTTAAAACGCCAGACAAGTTGGGTTGTTCGAAAATTTAAAACAAAATTAAATTAAATTAAATACTTAGTCGTAAAAAAATTAATGAAAATTTCAGTGTCTTTTTTTTGTCTGGCAATTCGTTTTTTAATAAAAAATACATTTACAAACTCATATTAAAAATGCCAGATGAGTTGGGCTGTTCGAAAATATATAAATAAATAAAGTTGTAAAAAAATACAATTAATTTTTTTTTTCAACTTTTTCCCTTTATATTATAAGCTGTAATTACTTGGGAAACATACTCAAGATACTATTTCCGACGTAAAATTTCCTACTTAATCTGATGCTGTCAACGGAAGTGACTTACTTAGCCAAGAAAAGCTGGAAAATAGGAAAAAGCTCCGTAAATTTAAAAAATTCACATTTTAAATCGTATTTGAATTAAGAAATAAAATTGCAGGAAAATGTTATTCAAAACATGAACTTCAAATAAATAAAAAATGCTTATTATATACAAGATGTTACAAATAATTGAAAATACAAAATACGAATAGTCCTTGTATGTATATATACTGACGTTTACTGAATTTGTACACAAACTGATGTATACTGAATTCAACTTTCTCTATAATGGCTGTGACAGTCAAAAAAAAATACGAAGTGGGAACGTGTCTCATGGAGATACGCTTGCGCAGTACAGTGATTTTACTGGATATAAGCCACTTGTACTCTTATGGGGTACAAAATTTTGAAATAAGCACTTTTATTCATTTAAAATTCATGTTTTGAATAATATTTTCCTGCTATTTTATTTCTTAATTCGAATGTGAAAATTTGAATTTTTTAAATTTACGAAGGTTTTTCCTATTTTTCAGCTTTTCTTGGCTGGGTAAGTCACTTCCGTTGACAGCATTAGATTCAGTAGGAAATTTTACGTCGCAAATAGTATCTTGAGTAGCTTATAATATAAAGGGAAAAAGTCAAAAAAATGAGAAATTGTATTTTTTTACAACTTTGTTTATTTATTTAAATATTTTCGAACAGCTCAACTTGTATGGCATTTTTAATTTGAGTTTGTAAGTGTATTTTTTATTAAAAAATGAATTGCCAGACAAAAAAAAAAGACTGAAGTTTTCATAAATTTTTTTACAACTGCCTATTCAATTTAATTTTTTTTTTAAATTTTCGTACAACCCAACTTGTCTGGCACACCTGAAGTATAAATATGTATTTTCAATAGTAATGAAATGCCAGACAAAAATAAATTATTTAAATTAGAAAAAAAAAAAAGTTTTCATTAATTTTTTTGTAACTTTTCAATTAATTTATACATTTTCGAACATCTCAAATTGTCTGGCATTTGTATATTGTGTTTATACGCGTATTTCTTATTGAAATTCAAAATTCCAGACAAAAAAAAAGTGATTTAAACTTTAATATATTTTTTACGAATTTTCTGGCACAATTTTTCCATTTTCCAATCTGTCTGGCAAATTTTTTGTGACAAGAAATATGGGTATTAATTTTAAGTACCAGACAAATAGTGATTACTGAAAAATGTTAAAAATTTTCACATAATTTTCCCACAGAGAATCTCAACTCCGAACATTGGAACCGTCTGGCAATTTATTTTTATCATTTTCATAACAAAACTACTAAATTATCATTTTCAGACGTCAAAATGCCAGACATTTTTCAAGGACGCCACACCCATGTGCGCTAACTCACGGTCTATTACAGTTTATTTAGTTATTACAGTTTATTCTAGCAAGCTACTAGAAATGTTGGAAACTTGTGAAAAATGGCCTTTATCATCAGCCACACCTAAAACTCTTTCATATGGCGCCCAACGTGCGGTTGGAACCCACGACCTTGAGATTAAGATTGAGCCACCCGGGCAATGCGCAAAAATAATTTTCCATTGAAAAGTTTAAATGTGCATGGTAAATTGATCTAATCGCTTTCCGGAATTCTGACAAGCACTTTTATCCAAACTTACCGTATTGGTTCTTTGCAACGATTGGTTTTTCGGTTTCCAGCGGATCAGAACGACCTTGCATATTTTCAGCGAAAACTCTAAATTCGTATTTAGTGCCTTCCAAAAGTCTTGGTACAACCGAATGGTTGTATTTAGGGTTGACATAGTTAACGGCAGGTACCCAACCGCCGCCGTGTGTCAGATCTCGCTTTTCAATGACGTAGCCACTGAAACAACAAATTGTAATCGACGGTTTACAACGCTTTGTTTGCTTGCTTACGTAATTTCGCTACCACCGTTATCTTTGGGTGGTTTCCATGAAAGCGTCACGCTTTGGGCTGTTACTTCTTCGTATTCTATCGGTTTCTGTGGAGGTCCAGGACGATCTAATAACAGAATTAAAGCAAATTAAACCTTGCGTATAAAACGATTTATTTGCAACGCGTTACCTAAAACTGTAACTTGGAACGACCCTTCGTCAATTCCAGAACTATTCTTAAGCAAAATGTGGTACAGTCCGCTATCAGTTCGTTTAGCGTTGACCGTATGTATTGTCGTATGATATCCGATGGAGGTGACTGTCGTACGCTCATCTGCGGTCAGAGGTTTGCTTCCAACCGTCCAAGAAACTTCAGGACACGGTTCCCCAATGAAGTCAATGTCAATGTGGAGGATAAGTCCAGCTTTGATACGGATATCGTTAAGGGGTGTTTTGATCTTCGGCGCCACTAAAAAATTATACAAACGCGATTAATTTTAAGCGAATAAAATATCGACGTATTCATATCAACAAGCGTTATTTTATAGAAATTATATTTCTTACAGAAGCGGGCCTTGGCTGTAACCAGATCTGATGGTTCCGACGGTTCGCTCTGACCAGCAGTGTTAGTTGCTATTACTCTAAACTCGTATTCTTGGCCTTCCGTCAAATCAGGCACAGTAGCGGCGTTCTTCCTAGCAGGTACGTGAACGGCGTTGGTCCAGTACGGGCTGCCCTTCTCTTTCTTTTGGATAATGTATCCGGTGATGGGTGAACCACCGTCGCTCTTCGGCGGGGTCCATTCTAAGTCAACGTGGTCCCTGTCCCAGTCGGTAACGGCAGGTTTTCCAGGAGCACTAGGCTCATCTTAAAAAAAATTATGTATTTATTATGTGTCGAATTATAAGTTAAAAAAAAAAAAATTATTTACCAAATTCGTTCTTTGCGATTATACTCTTAGGCGTTTCCAGAGGTTCGGATTCCCCAACAGCGTTAACCGCTTTGACTCGGAAGTAATATTCCTTGCGATGGATTAGTCTGGTGATGTCGTGTGAAGTGATGGTAGCCATGCCCGCGTCTGACCAGGTGCCACGGGACACATCCATTTTCTCTACAATGTAATGGAGAATAGGGGAACCGCCGTCGTCCAGTGGCGGTTTCCAAGATAATCTCGCGCTTTCTTTAGTAACACAACTGACGTCGAGCGGTGGTTGCGGCGGTCCGGGTTTATCGATTACGTTCACTTGTGCCGATGCAGAGAAACTGCCCAAGTCGTTAGTGAGCGTTAACGTGTATCTTCCGGCATCGCTACGTACAGCTGAGGTAACGTCAAACGATACTTTGTTGTTATACACAGCCATGTCGACTCTCTCGCTCGGCTGAATTTCTTTGCCGCTGTTGATCCATTTGGCGGTCGGTTTCGGTGAGGCTTCGATCGGAATGGTCCATCCGAATCTTTGACCGACTTTAACGGTAATATCTTCCAGAAGGCTCTTGTTGAAGATTGGTGCCAAGAATCTCGGTTTGGCGATAACTGGAATAGACGCTTCACTTGGTTCGCTATGTCCGCCTTTGTTAACAGCGATGACCCTAAACTCATACTCCTCTCCTTCCGTAAGGTTAGGCACGGTCGCTTTAGTTGTGTTTCCGGGAACGTCACACGCCCTTTCCCAAGTTCTGAAAACAATACGATAATATCTCTAGAATCATACAAATTCATTCATGTAGAAACTTACCCGTGTCTTGGTCGTTTTTCGATAATATATTCAGTAATCGGAGCACCTCCGTCCTTTTTAGGCGGCGTCCATTCGAGGTCAACGTGATCTTTGTCCCAATCGGTGGGCACCGGTGCACCAGGCTTGTCGGGTTTGGTGAATGGATCCTTGGCGGTGATTGCCTCGGTAGTTGTAAGAGGAGCGGAATCACCCTCTTTATTGCAAGCTCTTACGCGGAATTGGTAGTCGTGTCCTTCAGCTAAATGATCGACACGCATCGATGTACCGACAGCATCGCCAACGGGTACCCATCGCATATTCTCAGTGTCGAGTTTTTCCACTGTGTAGTGAGTAATTTCTGAACCGCCGTTGTCTTTAGGCGGTTTCCAGCGGAGGGTCAACGAATTCTTAGTAACATTGTCGGCTTTAAGCGGTCCCTCGGGCGGTGTAGGTACATCGAGGACGGTAACGTTAACTGTGGCAACGTCTTTGCCATTGGCATTCTTGGCCGTAAGGGTGTAAACACCGCTATCGGCTCTTTTAGCATCGACGATTTTGATACTAGTTTTGTAGTCTTCGTTTACGATCTTAACGCGATCGCCATTATATAGAACGTCTTCTTTATGTTTCCATTCTTTTGTCGGTGGGGGTTCACCAATGACGGGTACGTTGAATTCGATTGATTGGCCAACTTTGACTTTAAGGTCCGCAAAGAAGTTACGGTCGATTTTAGGAGCAACTACAAGTGAAAAATGGATATAGTATGTGTTTCAAAAATACATGAAACATGTAGTGACAAATCAAACCAAAATTAACGTCTATACATATTAATTAATAATTAGTATAGCGTTACTTTCCCAAATCTTTACAAAATTTTTTCTATTCCCCTATTTTCGAATCTGTTATTTTTGTGTGGTCCAACCTAGTTTTCGAGAAAATTTTTTTCAAAATTCTAACCAGGACATTTCACTGTATACTTTTAGTTTTGGTTATCTTGTCACAGAATATAAAAAATAGCAATAGCAATTTTCATTTATGATGAGGTTTCTAGCTCTAGCACACATTCTTTACGTGATATAAAATAGTTATCATTAAAAAGTAACCTTCTCTAATAAGTAAACTGTCAGGCCACTTACTATAATGTAGCTGAATTTACGATTGTCTCGACCATTTGCAATAATCCAATAACAATATTTAATGTTTAATGAGGTATTTTCTAACTTTTAACTGCATCACATAATGGAAAGAGGTTAAAAAATACTTTTTTTTGAAAATTCGCGCCAAATGTAGAAATTTTTAGTCTATTGCAGTGGTAATTTCGTATCTTTGTTTTAAACAATTCCTTCAGCGCTGCCATATTTATCTACTAAGCTGGCAGACACACAAGCCTAATAGCCAGAATCTGTTAATTATTTTGGCAAAATCATCAAACCCACAAATTGTTAATTTAGTTTCTACTTCTTCAAATAAAATAGTTTTAATACATACTTTCAATGTAAAAATTATTCTTAAAAGTATGTTTGCGAACAAAAAAATCGTCTAATTTGTGACAAATCGCTCAATCTGGCAATGATGTTTCCTCCAATAAAACTGTAGCGACCTCTAGTGGAAAACACGGAATCATTGTACTTACAGAATTCTAACTAAAATATCGGTACCGAAATTCCTTATTATAAAATGTTAATCAAGTCTTTAGTTATCACAATTTTGAAATAATATGGTTTAAATTGGTGTTTTAGGTTATAAATTACTTTTGCTGGCAAGTTTGTGCAATGAATAACAATTTGTGACATCTAGCGGACGACGCGGTAGCATTAGATTTATAGAATTCTACTTAAAAAATTGGTACGAATATACAAATAGTTACGCCACCCACTTCTAGAGGGCCAACAAACATTTAGTAATTTTCCCAATTTTCCGCTTAGTGTAATAAGATTTTAAATTAAAATAAAAGAATTGTTGTTAAATTAACTAATCCCTTCACCGAAAATATTAAAAATATATACGTTTTTAAGAAATGAACGTTTTCTTTGCGTTTTAAGGAAATTACCCTATTTATGATTGCGCTAGAGCCATGTATAATTGGATTTACTGTGCAACTTCATCATAACTGAACCGATTTTATTATTTTTATCGATATGCGTTATACTTACGATTTTTGGGTCTAGCGACATGAATTTTGGACGCGTCGCTGGGTTCCCCAGGGCCCGCTTTGTTCACGGCGCGGATCCTGAATTCATAAGGAGTGCCCTCAATGAGATCATTGACTTTTCCTTTGGTTACATCTCCATCAACTTCAGCACATTTTTCCCAGTTCGGATTAAATTTGTCACGTTTTTCAATTATGTAACCGGTGATGGGCGCACCGCCATCGTTTTCAGGCCTGTCCCATTTGAGTTCGACAAAGTCTCTGTCGTAATCGGTGATTTCTGGAGCGCTGGTCTTGCCGGGTTCGTCGAATGGATTTTTGGCTTCGATGGCTTGTGTCGTTTGTAACGGTTCGGATTTGCCTTGTCGATTAACAGCACGGACCCTGAATTTATATTTTTTACCGGGTGTGAGACCATCTATTGCCAAAGATGTTTCGGGGCCGATCGTTTCTCCGGCTGGTACCCAGCGACCCGTGGCTTCATCCATCTTCTCTACGATGTAGTTTTCAACGGGTTGTCCACCGTCGTCCGCAGGTGGCCTCCAGCTTAATTTGGCTCCGTTAGCATGTACATCGGACACTTTAAGCGGTCCGCCAGGTGGGCTTGGTACATCGAGAACTATAACTTCAACGTCAGCAATGTCTTTACCGTTAACGTTTTCCGCTGTGACTGTATAAGTGCCGGATTCGGCACGTGTAGCATTGCGAACAGAAAGCTTAGTGTTATATTCTCCATGTTGCACTTTCAGTCTATCAGCAGACTTGAGTTCTTTGTTCTTAATCAACCATTTAGTAGTTGGCATTGGTTCTCCAGTAACTTTAACGTCGAAGTTGAAGTTTTGTCCAGCACGGATGCGCACTTCGATGAGATTCGTCCTGTCGATCTTAGGCGCCAAGTTGCGGGGTTTGGCGATAATAGTGGGCGTTTCATTGCTAGGGTCGCCTGGACCGGCAGCATTTACAGCACGAACACGGAACTGGTAAGGTTGTCCTTCGATAAGATCGGGTACGGTAGCTTTTAGTTGGTCGGCCGGTACTTCAAGAGCTTTTTCCCAGTCACCGAATTTGTCTTTCTTTTCAACGATGTAACCGGTGACCGGCGAACCACCGTCGTCTTTAGGCGGCGTCCAGGCAAGGTCAACGTGATCTTTGTCCCAGTCGGTAGCTTTGAGATGTCCGGGAGGACCGGGTTCGTCGAACGGATTCTTGGCAACGATTGTGGTGTCAGTTTCTAAGGGTTTAGATTCACCTTCGGCGTTAACTGCCGCAACCCTAAATTTGTATTCATGTCCTGGGGTAAGGCCGGTAACCTCGAAGTCTGTAAAATAATAATAATAAAATAATAAAGGTTAGGTTAGATAATTTGTTATAATACTTACTAGGGTCGGTAGATCTGCCACAAGGCACCCAGCATCCTGTTTCTGGGTCCATTTTGTCGACTTGGTAATACTCGATAGGAGTGCCACCGTCGTCTTTTGGTCTCTTCCACTTAAGTTTGCAACCGTTTTTGTTGACATCTGATACTTGAAGTGGTCCCTGAGGTGGCGAAGGCTTGTCGGTAACTGTGACGTTAATAGTGTGTACATCTTTTCCTGAGCTGTTAGAAGCTGTAACTGTATATTCTCCCGTGTCGTCTCTGTTGACGGGTCGAATAGCGATTTTAGTATTATAGTCTACGTTGTCGATTGTAGTACGTTTATCGTTTTTAAGCGTGAGGCCGTTGAAACGCCAATCCACTGTCGGTGGAGGTTCACCAATGATGTTCGCCTCGAATTTGAGCGGAGATCCTGCGGAAATGGTGACGTCGTGGAGATAACGTCTGTCAATCTTTGGAGCCACTGAAAACAACGCGATTTATTATCGTACGGTTTATTTGTCTACGAATACACTTACAGAATCTCGGCTTGGCAGTGAATGTTTTGCTGGCGTCTGAAGGAGGACTTAAACCGGCTTCATTTACAGCAATAACTCTGAACTGGTAGTCGTTTCCTTCAACCAAACCATTGATAATAGCTTTGGGAGTAGGGCTTGTCGTTTCTAGAGCCTTCTCCCACATAGGACTGTATTTGTCTTTCATTTCAATTATGTATCCGGTAATAGGAGCGCCACCGTCGGATACGGGTTCCGTCCATTTGAGTTCAACGTGATTTGCGGACCAGTCTTCTGGTTCGGGTGTGCCAGGTTTGGCGGCAGTAGCTAAATAAAAATTATTGATAAATACATGCGGTATTTATTTACCGTAAAACTTACTGTAAGGGTCTTTGGCGGTAATCGTTCCGATGGTTTCGAGTGGTTCAGATTCGCCTTCTTTATTCACTGCTTTAACCCTGAATTTATATTCATGTCCGGGTATGAGACCATCGACTTTCATTTCAGGAACGGCACCAGCAGTTTTACCTACAGGTAGCCATATTCCGGTTTCGGGGTCGAACTTTTCTACTACGTAGTTCTCGATCGGTTCACCACCGTCGTCTTTAGGTCTCTTCCATTTAAGAGTGCAACCGTCTTTGTGGATGTCCGAGACCTCCAACGGTCCTTCGGGCTGTCCTGGTTTAGCTGCAATCGAGGAATAAAATCAATTGTGGCAAAAAAATATTAGATTTAAAATTATACAAATAATAATAATTGAAAACTGATTAAAATTTTTATTTTCAGGTGAATTACAACCATTTGATATTCCCCTATTTGGTGAGTACTAAATTAGCTATTATTAGATTAGTTTTTACAAAATAATACTAATAGTGAAAATAATTATTGTTTGCGTAAAATAATAATAGCAACAATACTTACAAACAACAGTGATGTCAATTTCTGCCTGGTCTTGTCCATACTTGTTAACAGCGACAATTTTATAAACTCCAGTGTCCTTTCTTTCGGGTTTGTCGTTAAAGAACTTGGAGTTATAAGGTACGTTATCGACACGTTTGTGCGTAGACGAGGGGATCGTTTTACCATCTTGGTACCACGTAACGTCAGGAGCTGGTTCACCGCTCACTTTAACATCAATGTAGATCGGCTCACCCTCCTTTACAGTCAGGTTAACCAAATTGCGGCGATCGATTTTAGGAGCCACTGTAAATTACGTTAATAATGAAGAAATGTATTAAAGTTAATATGTAAGTACTTACGTCTTCTGGGCTTCGTAATAACGGATTTAGATGCTTGGCTCGGTTCACCAGGGCCTGCGGCGTTAACGGCGCGTACTCTGAATTCATATTCCACGCCCTCGTCTAAATTGTCGGCTGTTCCTTTGGTTTCGAAAGGACCGGTTTCACCAGCTTTTGTCCATTTCGGTGATCCTTTTTCTCTCTTTTCGATAATGTATCCGGTGATTGGAGATCCACCATCGTTAGTTGGTGGAGTCCATCTTAAGTCAACGTGGTCCTTGTCCCAGTCTGTCACTTCAGGAGTGCCAGGAGCACCCGGTTCATCTATAATTTATTGTTATTAATCGTTTGAAAATGTAAATTTATCTTCAATAACAGTTTTCGTCCTCAGTAACTTTTTGGGCAATAAAACTGCTGCTGTTAGTTAAAATATTTCAATACGGAATAAATACATTTGTAATCAAAGTATTAATTAATTTTAATTCTAGCGAGGTGTTACACCATTGCACTTTGGCATCTGTCTGGCAGATGGCGCCTCTGCGGCTTAATTTATGTTTAGAATGTTCTATAGGCAACCAGCAATACACTCATTTTCATTCCATTGATAAACCCTTTTAGTGTGACGTCACATATTTAGGCAACCCACAAGTCACAGTTGAAATTTGACAGACCGAATCTGACCTTTGTGTACTATTTACATAGATACTATAAAAATTATCAACTACAAATTAATTTATTTTTACAAGGATTTCGATCTAGTAAAAATATTGAGAAATTCTTCACGACAATGTGCATTGTGGGGTAGCCTATTATTTGACGTATGTGACGTCACTACTAAAAACTCTAAAAAGGTCTAATTATATAGGTTATGATAAAGGTATTTATTTTTCCATTTAAATTGTGACCACAAAATTTTATCGTTTCTCAAAAATTTATTCTAAAAAGCTGATAATATTTATTTTTCATGTTTCAATAATTAATAATCATTAAATTGTTTAGAAAATGATGAAAGTGTAAGCTGTTATATAAATAAACAACAATCGGGAACTTACCGAATGGATTCTTGGCGATGATGGTTTGATCGGCCTCTAGAGGTTCAGATTCGCCTTCAGCATTGACAGCGGAAACGCGGAATTTGTATTCCTGTCCAGGTTCTAAGTTGTTGAGGTCAATCTTGGGTTCCTTAGTGCGGCCAGCAGGTACCCAACGTCCTGTTGCGGTGTCGAGTTTTTCAACAGCATAGTATTCGATGGGTACTCCGCCATCATCACGTGGCGGGTTCCATTTAAGGCTACATCCCTCTTTGTGAACATCGCTGATTCTAAGCGGTCCTTCGGGTTTGCTCGGTTTGTCGAGCACTTTGATTTCAATGCTGGCTTCGTCACGTCCAGAATCGTTTTCGGCTTTAAGAACGAGAGTTCCAGTATGTTCTCTCTTGGCTACTCCTATTACGAGTTTGGTTCTGTAATCCTCGAGATCTACGTTGATGTCGTCGCGATCCTCAATACGAGCTTTGTTAAGGAACCACGTCTTCTTCGGCGGTGGTTCGCCAGAAACTTTAACGTCCAACCGGATGTGTTGGCCTGCTCTGACTGTAAGATCTTTGAGGTTGGTACGGTCGATCTTTGGCGGTACGAAACGATCTTTGGCAGTAATAACGTCCGACGGTTGAGAAGGTTTGCTGTCTCCTCCTTTGTTAACGGCTTTAACTCGGAACTGATATTTCTGTCCTTCTTGTAAATCAGGTACTCTAGCTTCGGTTTTATTTCCAGGTACTTCAACGGCTTTCTGCCATTTTCCCGTGATAGGATCTTTCTTCTCGATGACGTATTTTTCAATCGGAGCTCCTCCATCGTTTTTGGGTGGGGTCCACTTAAGATCAGCGTGATCTTTGTTCCAGTCCTTGAGTTCTGGTTTTCCGGGGGCGTCGGGTTCGGTGTAAGGGTTCTTAGCAGTGGTAGGAACGTCGGTTACCAACGGTTCCGATTCACCTTCCGAATTAACAGCTTTAACTCTGAATTGATAGTCTTTGCCTTCGTTCAGGCCAGTCACGTCAGCTTCGGGAGTTTTGGTGGTCGTTACCGGGACCCACCGTCCCGTTTCGACGTCCATACGTTCTACTACGTATCCACTGATAGGTTCTCCGCCGTCGTCTTCTGGCGGTTCCCATTTCAATTTGCATCCTTCAGCGGTAACGTCGGATACCTTAAGGGGACCTTTAGGTTTGGATGGTTTGCTAACGACTTGTAATTCAACATCGACGGTGTCTACACCGGAATCGTTTCTTGCTGTGACGGTATATACTCCGGTATCGCTTCGTTGAACTTTCTGTAAAACAAAGCTCGTGTGATAGTCTTCGTTGTCGATTTTAATCCTGTCTGTGTTTCTAAGAGTTTGTTCTTTAAGGGTCCAAGTGACCGTTGGCGCGGGTTCACCCTTGACATCGGCTTCCAGTCGCAGTAATTGTCCAGTGCGCAATACTTTCTTCGTGAGGTTCTTACGATCGATTTTCGGTGCCACTGAAAACATATTATTATAATAGAAGGTTTAATTAAGCTTTATATAAACTTACAGAATCTAGGTTTAGCGATGACGGGTTTAGAGGGGTCGCTCGGTTCGCTAGGTCCGGCTTTGTTAACAGCCACAATTCGGAATTCGTATTCATGACCTTCTTCGACCGTTTCTACTCTTCCATTGGTTCTATCACCAGGAACAGTCGCGGCGTCTACCCAACCACGACCGGCTTTATCGTGCATTTGGATGATATATTTTTCAATTGGAGCACCTCCGTCGCTAACGGGCGGTTTCCAAGCCAATTCGACGAAGTCTTTGTCCCAGTCTTTGAGATCTGGACGACCGGGCTTGCCGGGTTCGTCTGTAATTAATAAAAAATATATATTGTAAGTGACTTAACTAATAGATTACAGTGGCTGGCTAGTTTTTTTAGCTCACCCACCACCTAATCTAACCTGATACTAACCGAATGGATTTTTAGCGATGATGGATTTATCGGTCTCCAGAGGTTCAGATTCGCCCTCCTTGTTGACGGCTTTGACTCTGAATTTATACGGTTTGCCTTCTTGAAGGCCAGTAATATTTGCTTCTGGTTCGGTGCTTCTGCCGCACGTTATCCATTGACCGGTGAGCGGGTCAAGTTTTTCAATCTCGTAGTGGTCGATGGGGGTGCCACCATCATCATCTGGTTTCTTCCATTTCAGTTTGCAACCGTGTTTGGTAACATCGGATACGTCGAGTGGTCCCTTTGGAGCGGATGGTTTTCCAAGGACGGAAATGTCGATTTCGGCTTGATCCTCACCGACTTCGTTCTTTGCTATGATCGTGTATTTGCCGGATTGCGCTCTCTTGGCACGTAAAACGAAGAATTTCGTGTTGTAGTCGATGTTGTCTATACGAGCTTCTTCTGTGGATTCCAGTTCTTTTCCGTTGAAGAGCCAAGTGACTTTCGGTGGGGGTTCACCTTGAATGTTTACGTCGAGGCTTATCGAAAGGCCGGATTTTACGGTAAGCGGTTTCAGGTTGGTGCGATCGATGAGCGGTTTCACTGGAAAAAAATTAATTGTAAGGGTTGTAGGAATTAATGGTTATTTAAACTTACAGAATCGGGCTTTGGCGGTGTGCCAGTTGGTTTGCTCGGAGGGTTCCGAAACTCCAGCTTTGTTCACGGCGCGGACTCTGAATTTGTACTGGTTTCCTTCTTCTAATTTTGGTACGGTCCCTTTACATTGTGGTCCCACTTCAGCGACTTTAACAAATTGGCCGCCGAATTTGTCCATAGCTTCAATAACATATCCAGTAATAGGAGTGCCGCCGTCCCTGACGGGTTTCTCCCATTTCAGTTTAACGGAATGTTCATCCCAGTCGACAATTTCAGGTAGTCCAGGCGGTGCGGACACGTCATATGGATTCTTGGCTAGAGTCGCAGTGTCTGTTTCGAGCGGTTCGGATTCACCCTCTTCATTCACCGCTTTCACTCTAAAGTGGTATTTTTTGTTCGGTTCAAGTCCGGTTAGTTCGAGATCAGTTTTATCAGGGTCGACGAATCCAGCCGGAACCCACCGTCCGGTGCTGACGTCTTGTTTTTCAACAACGTAACCGGTGATCGGCAAACCGCCGTCATCTTTCGGTTTGTCCCATTTGAGTTTACAACCTTCTTTGTGAACATCGCTCACCTCGAGCGGTCCTTCTGGTTTACCCGGTTTGTCTAATATTATTACTTCTACAGGGGCTTCATCAAAACCGGAATCGTTTTCAGCCCTAAGGGTATACGTTCCAGTATGTTTCCTTTTCGTGTCAGTAAGGGTAAGCTTGGTGTTATAATCCTCATTGTCAATTTTGATATTAGCGGCACTTTCTAAAGGCTTGTGGGCAAAGCTCCAAGTGCATACCGGTGGCGGTTCACCCTTTACGTCTACGTCGAACTTTACAGGCTGTCCGGCCCGTACTTTTACAGTGTGTAGTTTTTCGCGGTTAATAAGAGGTCGTACTGAAAAAATTAAATTGGTTAATGATTGGAAAGGTAAATTTAATGAGATAGTTACAGTGTCTGGGTTTAGCAACGTGCTGTCCGGTTGGATCGGACGGTTGACCGGGTCCAGCTTTGTTAACGGCTCGTACACGGAATTGGTACGTGTTTCCTTCTTTTAGGCCCGGTACACGGGCATCGCAATCGGGCGTCTAAACAAATATCATCAAAAATAATAACAGTAGAAACGGTAATACATAGTTTGTGATTTCGCACCGATGTAAAGAAACATGGAAATACACGAAACAAACCTTGCATTTTCTGCAATGGTCTCTGCCACAAAAACATTTTTATTGGATCTTTTAAGTATATCGATAATTTGAAAATAGGACAAAAAATGTGAGATCCAAATTTTTTTCTGTTTTCATTTAAGTTTTGAAAAAATTAATTGTTACAAACAAAACTCACATCTGTGGTGAGGATTTCATCCCACGTCGTGGAGAATTTTTCCTTCTTCTCAATCACATAACCAGTAATTGGCGCTCCACCGGTATCCTTGGGCGGTTTCCATTTCAAATCGACACGATCGGCGTCCCAGTCGGTAATTTCTGGGGTACCAGGTTTACCGGCGATGTCGTACGGGTTCTTGGCTATGATGGAACTGTCCGATTCCAGAGGTTCAGATTCTCCCTCATCATTGACTGCCTTCACACGGAATTCATACTCGTGGCCTTCTTGTAATCCTTTTACGTCCATTTCGGTGTCATTCGTCCTTCCGACGGGGACCCAACGACCCGTTTGTTTGTCAAGTTTTTCAACGATGTATCCGGTGATGGGTTTGCCACCGTCGTCTTCCGGTTTGTCCCATTTGAGTTTGCAGCCTCCTTTAGTAACGTCGGTTATCTTTAGAGGTCCTTTAGGTTTGGATGGTGATGCTGAAAAATACATTTGTACAACGTTATACCAATTTATCAGTTTCGTAAGAGTTACTTACAAAGAACGGTAACTTCTACTTCAGCTTCATCGGAACCGTGTTCGTTAACAGCCTTGATTTTGTAAACGCCGGTGTTTTTACGGACCGAGTTGGTGATGTTAAGTTTAGTGTTGTAGTCGACGTTGATAATTTCGATGTTGCCTTCGGACTTAAGTTCGGTATCGATGTGGAACCATGTACACGTAGGGGCAGGCTCACCCTTAACGTCGACATCATATTTAATCGGCTTTCCAGCGCGGACGATAATTGGTTTAAGGTTTGTTCTGTCAATCCTAGGTTTAACTGGAATGTATCGAATGATTATTTAAAGTGTATGGTTTATAATGATAAGAAACTTACGAGCTCTGTGCTTAATAATCTGCATTTGAGAGGCGTCAGACGGTTTTCCGGGACCTGCTTTGTTGACGGCGATAACTCTAAATTGATATTCGCCGCGTTCTTTCAAGTCCTCAACCCTCGCTTCTAAAGCGTCTCCAGGTACTTCTGTAGCTTTCTCCCAATCGGGTTTGAATTTATCTTTTTTCTCGATAATGTATTTTTCTATCGGGGCACCACCATCGCTGGCTGGTGGAGTCCACTTAAGGTTAACTCCCTTATTGTCGTAGTCGGTAATTTCTGGAGTGCCTGGCTTACCAGGTTCGTCTGGAAAATAAATAAAGTTATAGATGAATTAACAGAAATCGGTTACAAGTATAATACCAAATGGATTTTTGGCGACGATAGGACGGTCAGATACGAGAGGCTCTGAGTCTCCCTCGTTGTTAACGGCTGTTACTCTGAATTTGTACTCATTTCCTGGGGTGAGTCCGGTAACCTCAAATTCGCCTTTACCATCAGGGGATAGTTTGTCTCCGGGTACACGGCCAACCCTGACCCATTTGCCAGTGGCCATGTCCATTTTTTCGATCTCGTATTCTTTAATCGGACTGCCTCCATCATCTTCTGGTTTCTTCCAGCCGATTTTGGCCTTTTCCGCCGTCACGTCGGAAACAACCAAAGGTCCTTCTGGTGCTCCTGGCTTGCCAAGCACAGTAAGTTCAACTGTTTCGGTGTCTTTACCATTGACGTTCTCAATAGTAAGTGTGTATTTGCCGGTGTCTTTTCGGACGGCATTCAAAATAGTAAAGTCCGTGTGGTAGTCTGCGTTCTCTATTTTAATACGTTCGCTATTTGTCAGTGGAATGTTATCTCGCCACGACCATTTGACCGTCGGTGGGGGTTCACCCATAAAGTCGACGGCCCATTTGTGGGTTCTACCTGCTTTAATCGTAATCGATTTGAATGTCTCACGATCGATTCTCGGTCGTACTGTAAATAAAATGACGATTAGTCAGGTCGTTGTCGTTTAGGAAGGACGGGGACCTAGCTACTATATACAAATATCTGTACAATATGCTGAAACGTCACAATTCCAAAAAATATATACATTAACATAACAGATGAATAAATAATAAGTCACATAAATTAATCGGATACCTGGAAACAAACAAAACCAAAAAACCATACACAAACTATATTTCTGATGAAAATAAGTTGTGGGTGAGTCTTTGTGGCGTGTTTGTAAAATAAAATCAAAAGTTAAATTAGTATTAAAAGAAAAATCTACCCTATTTTTAATGAAAGAGGGATTAAAGTCACTCAAAGCAAACAATGAATTCTTACAGTTCCGGTGTTTGCAGAGGTGGTTGCCCGTAGGTTCAGAAGGTACGCTAGCTCCGGCTTTATTATGCGCACGCACGCGGAACTGATATACCATATTTTCCTTTAATCCTGGGATAACGATTTCGGGATTCGGACCGTCCGTTTTACCAACTTCGCTCCAGTCGGCAGCAAATTTGTCTTTCATCTCCACCGTGTAATGGCTAATCGGACGACCACCGTCGCTTTCTGGCTTAGCCCATTTAAGGGTAACACTCTTGTTGTCGTAGTCGACGATGTCTGGTTTACCAGGCGCGCCGGGTTCATCATAGGGGTTTCTAGCGAGAATAAAGTCGTCTGTTTCTAGAGGTTCCGATTCACCTTCCTTGTTCTTGGCTTTAACTCTAAACTTGTACTTCTTTTTAGGTGTTAAATTCTTGAATGTAAACGTATTGTCGGTCGGTCCAACTTCACCGGCAGGAACCCACCTGCCCGTGTCCATGTCCATCTTTTCGAGAACGTACCCGGTAAGGTCGGTACCGCCCAAATCTTCCGGTTTTTGCCATTTGACCGTAACGTGGTCAGCACGGATTTCTTCTACCTTGAGTGGGCCTTTAGGCGGTGTAGGTTTGTCTAATACTATGACTTCCGCTATACCTTCGCACGTACCTGAGCTATTAGTAAGTACCAAACGGTATTTACCGCTGTCAGCCCTGGTACATCTGCGTACAGTGATAATGGTGTTTTTCTCCAACTTATCGATAGTAATTCTTTCTTCCAAATCTGGCTTAATCTCCTTCTTGTCGAGGAACCATTCTACCGTAGGTTCTGGTTCACCTCCATACTTAATATCGTATTTAGCGACTTGTCCTTTCTTGATAATAATGCTGTTCAAGTCGTTTCCGATGATGTAAGGTTTAACAAATCTGCATTTGGCAATGATAGGCTTTGTCGGATCACTGGGTTCACCGGGGCCGGCTTTGTTTATGGCCCTCACTCTGAACTCATACTGACTGTTTTCTTTTAAACCAGGTACAGTTCCCTTGAACTGATCTCCAGGCACTTCGATACCTTTCTGCCACTCTTTCCCAAATTTGTCTTTGAATTCGATAACGTACCCTGTTATTGGGGCGCCACCATCATTTTCTGGTTTGTTCCAGGTCAAATCAGCATGATCCTTGTCCCAATCGACCACCTGTACGTCTTTAGGCTTGCTCGGCTCATCTAAAACATCAACGGTTGTATATATTTCTACAAATACCATGTAACTTACCCCAAGGATCTTTGGCTAGTACTGGTTTACCGAACAGTGCCGGCTCGCTAGAGCCTAGCTTGTTTACGGCTCTGATTCTGAATTTGTATTGTTTTTTAGGAGTAAGACCTTCAACTTTGAACGTTGTAGGTCCTCCGGCCTTAACTTCGCCAACATTGTCCCATCCAGCTGAAAGAAATTATTGTCAAATTGCTACAGTAGGTACATTGTGCAACAAGTGTAGAAAAGTGCTAATTTCTTGAGTTTGAAAAAAAGCAATTCAAACGAGTGAGACATGAACATTTCTGCACAAGTTGCATACTATTTTCTACAGTTACACTTTTTCACGTTAGTTGGTATCCGTTTTTGTTAATTATAACAGATTAATAATTGCAAGGAAACACTTATTGTGGAATTTATTTGTTATTATTATTTTCTGCACGTTATTTACTTTAATAACTTTTATTCACTTAAAAATAAATTTGCATTTTAGTTTTCATCCAGTGCTACCAAAGCCTAGCTGTCTCATTACTCGAATAATACTCGTATTTTATTTTTGCGCGAATTTAAAAAAATCTCATTTAACTATATTTGAAAGAAAATTTATCTTATAAATTCTTATATTTGCGCATAGTTATTAAATTCAAATTGTGATTAACAAATATTGTTAATTTTTTTATGAACTCATCGAAATAAATTTAATAAACCACTTTGTAGTCGTTCAAATTCGAAATTACCCGCGTTTTTAGATTGCTCCTGATTGACGAAAATACCCGAAAAATAGATAATTACCCGCACATTGGCAGCATTGTTACGTACCATTGAATTCTGAACACAAAACAAGATACATCTGTTAGTTACAAAGAAATGCCTCAAGAGGGCCATTGCCAACCGAAATAAATAAAATTTCTAACGAGGAGTATTTTGAATATCAGAATAATTGCTGTTCATTTTTGCGTGTATTAATTGGACACGGACTGGCATTTGTCTAAGTTGTGAGAACATATGCCATGCGCCCGCCTACTATGTGAATTATGGGTAATTGTATTTAGCGCGTTCTGCATACATTTACAACAATGGTTACTTGCATATATTTTTTTAAATGTCCAGAAATAACCTATAATATTACATAATGATGTGGTGAAATAAATACTATATATTTTTTGTACATTGTAAACTAGAATAGTGATAGGTACTATCGAATGAATTTATCTATCGAATAATTAGTAGTTCAACTATCGAATAAATTCATTCGATGTTGGATGTGGGGACTATGAAATGTATTATTTATATTTAGATAAAAAAGCGAGTTATTAGGTACGATAGCTATTCGTCTACGATAATAACTATCGTTCGTAGTGTTTCTGCTCATCTCGTCTCGTCTACCAGCATTAATCCAGTGCAGTAATCACGACTATCGACATCGAATAGTTTGCTACTGGTGCAGGTTGTGTCGCACGATATGACATCACAATGATCACGCGACAGAATTTAAATTTTTACATCATTTTTAACATTTAATTTGTATTTTTAAAGAATTTATTTTTTTTTATCCCTGGGGTTGGTGTAGACTACAAATTTATGCAGTTTTAAATGAAATTAAATTTTCATGCAAGTTGATGTATAATAGAATCCTATTGAAAAATCTTTGCGGCACGCTTATGTTATTTTGCGGCAAGCATACGTCACTTTTTCGTTGTATTTTAAGTTCTGTCAAAAATTATCTAGTTTGCGCACAGTGGTGCGAGCGGAAAAGCGCATAAGAAAGTAGCCGTAGAAAAACAATAAAAGGTCACCGCGAGAAATACCTTTTAGGCTAAGATCTTGTCTTTCTACTACGTAGTGTAGAAGCGGAGAGCCACCGTCGTCCTTTGGCGGTTTCCAAGTAACCTTGCAGTTGGTTTGGAAAACTTCTATTACGTCGACGTTTTGTGGCGCGGAAGGTACATCTTGCATAGTTATTTTAACGTCCTTAACGTCTTCACCTTGTGCGTTGGACAGTTTTATTTGGTACGGGCCGGACTGATCCCGTGTTGGTTTTTTGATTTTAAATATCACTTTGTCGTCTGCGATGACTACATCCACATCTTTAAGTGGCAGAACTTTACCGTCTTTGATTAATTTGGCTTCTAGTGGTGACTGTCTGGTTCCCTCAACTGAAATATGTGAATTAATATATCTGCACGTTTTTACGTATGTTTCTACTTACTTTTATATGGAACTTCTATTACAATAGGTTTGTTAATAGGCGCTTCGAATGAAGACGGGAAATCAATTATAGGTTTGCTTTCTCCCTTCCTAACAGATAACTTCATGGAAGATTCCAATTTTCCAGATTCGCATTTGATTTCACCGTCGTCCTGCATGTCAAGTGAATTGAATATGAGCTGGTGTTTGCCACCACCGAGGTTTTTAATTTCGATTCTTTCGGAAGGTACGATAGGTACTCCATTGAAGAACCACTCCGCCGGTGCTGTTTGATCTTGGAGTTCGATGTCCAAGACCAGCTTTTCACGCTCTATGCCGACAGTGTCTTTCAGTTTCTTATTAAATCTGTTCAAATAGTCTACTACTAGTTCAGCTTCTGTCTTGTCAGCGTTACTAACGCAGGAGTACATGCCGGCGTCGGTGACTTTAGCATCCTTTATTACCAGTTTGCGTTTGCGACCATCCTTGCTGATAACGAGCCTCTTGTCGGGCGTGATCTCTTGGTCGCCTTTGAACCATTTCACGTCACCAGCGGCGTCGTTAAGCTCGCATAAGAACGTGATGTTTTCCTTCTCGACATGTTGTTGATGTTTTAGTACCTTTACGAATTTGTAAGGATATTCGATGATGTTGATTTTGGTCACGGTTCTCTCGGTTTGTTTTTCCAGCCTACACGAATATTCCGCGGAATCTTCATACTCGGCACATTTAATGGTGAGGCGGCAAACACCACTGATGTCTTTTGAGATACCAAACCTGTCGTTATCGTCCAGTTTGATGTCTCCTTTATACCAACCGACTACAGCCAAGCTGTTGCTGACGGTACATGACAGTTCCACTTCGTGTTTGTAATAACCATCGTATTTCTTTTTCAGGGGTTTGGTGAAGGAATAACTTGGATCGGGTTCCTCAACCGTAAGGAAGCCAGTGCAGTGGACGCCACCTATTTCGATCGTATATTTTCCAGTATCGTCCACTTTGGGATTCCAAATGATGAGCTGGTAAGTGTCATTTTCGTTTTTGAACTTGTATTTCGATCCGGGGAACAACTCCTGTAATACACGAAACGTTAAATTTTTACCGATGTTTCGGGTGTACGTATTTTGAACGCCGCTGTACTCACATCTTTTCTGAATAGCCATCTGGGTTTGCAGTTTGGTTTGGAGAAACCGGCCTCAAAAACGACTTTCTTATCTCTCCCTTCCTTCGCGAATTGATCCACTAGAGGTTTCAAGAAAGTCTCTTGTTTCTATAATGAACAGACAAATAATGTGAGTGGAAAATTTATATGTACGGGAACGGAAAACATTTACAAAAAATATATTACATGTCGGGTTCAGCTTTCAAAAAAATTGTAGTCGATATCAAAAACCTGACTGAAAATAGAAAAAATATATTTATATAAAAAATCTGCAACAACATCAATATGTACATTAGAAAAGAAACGTTTGCCATGATGCAAAACAACATCTATAATTGGAATTGTAAATTGAAAAAGACAGTTACCAGTGCTAGAGGTGGGGATGTAAACAAGTTTAGACCTTTAGAAATCAGAAAAGAATTTGTTGGTAGGTGCCAGATTAAAGTGATAGCAAAAAATCTAAACTCGCTTGTAGATAGATAATAGAAGGGTAAGAACGTGCAGACGATACATTAAAAACATCTATATAAACGAGATGAGTTTTTCATCCAACCTCCTTTTTTTCAAAGTGGTGTAAAATCGGCCAATCTGGTATTAACTCAGCCAGTGATGGCCGTCTCGAGGTGACAGGAGTCTACAAAAAGAAAACTAAAGCTAAAATAAACGCCTAATCCTACAAGGAAGAACCATTCATACACCCCATTCATCCCTGATAAAAGACATGCAAGAGAGAAAAGAAAAAGTTAGTCAAAAAACAATACAAGCCCAAGGCGTTGTTAAGACTTTCGAAAATTATAAGCAACACGATTTTATCATTAGAATGGCTTTAGACATAATATTTAATTCACAAAATGTTAATGTTCTACATTTAGTTTGTATACACATAGTTCTATTAAAAGCGTTTTAAGGTCTTCTAAAAATACATTTTATTTTAGTAAGACTTACATTATTTACACGATTAGGTATAGTTTTGCATAGCAGTTAGAACAGTGTACCCGAAAGTGATCGATGAATTCCTTCAACAGACACCGATTAAATAGCAAGCAGTTAAAAAATGTACAAAGTAAAACTGTAATTTTACCTTCAAGATGCCTAATCGTTACATTTAGGTACTTAATCTAAAACAACGGTGCATATAATATACCTAAACTAATTTTTTTAATGAAAATATAATAGAACTAGAAATCGCTGAGTCCTGACGTCTAAAGACCATGTTGTATATTAAAGATATAAAAAAATAACACGCAACTTTCTAAGCTTTGCCGGAAAAATATTATTTATTATCTTTGGCATGAAAATATAGTCCCAACAACAACCTCCTGACATAATTTTAAATCCGCCCGTTTTATATCTCCCCTTGCAATATTTTAAAATCATATTCGTTAAGTAGATTTAAAAATAATTTATACTTGGTAATAATATCAAAGCGGTCTAATTTTGTCATTAATTAGGTCGGCTAAATGAATGGCCTAGATACGTGACGCAAAACGACATTGCATAGCTACCTTTTGCCCAATTATTTATTATTTATAAGCTACCGCTCCGAAGCGGCAAAGCGACGAAGGTGAAATCGAGAGGCAGGTGGAGTATTTGAATTTAAACTAATTTCCGTAAATACCTACCAAATCTGCTAGTAAGTTTCAATTCTAATACCAATTAGAGAAAAAAATGTAACGTAGACTACCATCGTAAGTTTTTCTTTGAATTCTCCCACTGGATTATATTTTGGTACAATTTTAGATCAAATATCTTTGTTAAAAAAATTAATTTGTATCATAAAAAATTGTAAATTAGTTATTTAATTCCTTTTTGCCCATATACAGAGTGTATTAAATAATACAAACGGTTGATCTTAGGACTATATTTTGTCGAATAATATTCCTTTTTCAGCTATATTCAAGTGTAGAGTTTTAAAAACATAAAATATTTTAGTAGAATCCAGTGCAGCCCAAAAACCTGAACATTCTTAAAATCGTATCCAAAAATTGTAAGTGTTGAAATTTAACACAAAGTACAGGATATATCTCGTAAATACTCTATAATTGTTTTCATTCATTTTTTACCCTAAAACTGCGTTAACAAAACATTAAATTATTGATTAACCAAGTCGGGTGTAAGTAAAGAAAAACTTCTCAAAGAATCAGTAAATTAGATGGTTTAACCTAACTTTTTGTGCCAATCGTCCATCGAAATGTCCACCACCAAATGTATCTGTATGTATTTCAGAAATATCCTGTACCTTAGTGAAATTTAAACATGCTGGTGCCAATCGTTACGGTATCTGTTAAATAAATGATCAATAATCTTAAACCCAGTCATTTGCCGACTCGTTTTGGGCCTTACTGTATACTGTAAAATACTTTGGCCTTTTTTGTGACACCCTACATTGTGCTCATAAAAAGGGTTTCTCAAGCTTAGCTCAGCAAAATGGTCTGCGGTAAAACCAATAAAAGTCCCAAATAAAAACTCTCCAAAAACTCTTTTCTATGCCAACCTTTATTTTTTCTGTGGTAACAAGTGTTGGCCAGTCATCTATAATATCAAGTAGTAGCGTTGGACGACGCTGCATTAGAAAAACTTCCTAAAAGCAACACATTCTAAGGCACCAAGCGAATATCTACAGCATATTTTTATTTACAGTGTGTTTTAATTACATGTGTGCAAATATACCGATCTTTTCATTTAAGTGGAAGCTCTACAGATTGATACAATCTTAAATTTGGAATAGGTATAGATTTAATTGCACAATTCGATGACTAAGCTAAATATTCTAATTTACAAGTCTAAATCTTGTTTATTGGTTTACAAAAAGTCAAGAATATCCTTAGTGTAAAGGTGACAGTTATGTTATTAGTAGAAATTTAATGTAGAATAGAGAGAGGGTGTCTTAAATGAAAAGATGATGAGTATAAAAGAATAAAATTTAGTAACTACAGAGTGTGTATGTAAAATATTAATACTACAGTAACATTAATTGTTAGTAAAGGATGTAGAGACAGAAGAAAGGAATAGAAATCTACTATCTACTTTTAGAGCTTATAGAGATGCGTCTCCGGATAGCAGAAGCGGCTAATAAATAATAGAAACGTGTCCACATTTAATATAAAAGTAAATAGAGATAAGGCATGCGGAAAAGAACCTCTCTTTTCTTGAGCGGCGGCCAATCGGGTACAAATCCGGTCAAAGAAAACCCTGAATTAGTTTTTCTTAAAATAGCGCTCTGTGAAAAATCAAACACAGTTAATGCTTTTTATAGCCCGTGAAACAATAACATTGAGTGTCGTCATAAAAATATTTTACTTAATATACTTTTGTGTCCGTTCCAATAAAAATAACGAAGCGTAAACAACCGGTGAATCATTAGTGTACTTATTTGTCTGAGATTTCTGGAGCGGTTCAAAATTAACTGGAAAATATACTGTAATAAACATGTATTACGTACTTGAATTTTTTCGTGCTATTTTCATTACGGGAAAAACGAGATAATGCTATGAAACAGCCAAGCAACAACAAAATGTCATTACTATGTAGAAAATTACAGAGTGGTATATGAAAGTGTTGGTATTGGTTTGTTTCAATAAAAGAAGCACTATAATGCGGCATATTACTCTAAAGAAACTTTAAATGACCTTAAAAATGCTTTTTTGTTATATATTCTTTACTTCCCAAATGTCATAAAGGTGGGATATGTCTTAAATACAGAAATTTCGGTTTTGAAGGGTTTTCTGGTTTAAAATCTCGACTTTCGACATTTTAATATTTAAATTAAGTATATTGCACTGAAATTTCTATATTCATATAAAGCGATCAGTTTAGGCTAAAGTCATATTCGCTCTGTATATACCGAAGAAGCGCTGGAAAGGACGACCGCTCTTAAGTAAAATATTTTTGATATTAAGTATACGTATTAGTATTGCACAGATACGAAGCAGCTGTTGCAAAAAGGGGCAGCCCATTTACTCACACTCTATAAACTATTTTCACAATCACAATAAAAATAGGACGATCACAACCTAATAAATAACTCCTCTGGCTGGCCAAAACTGAAAAATAGCCAAAAACAGTAAGTCGGTGGAGACACATCTTTATAACACTTTGCTTAAAAATTAGGAAAAAAAATCGATATCTGAAAAGTAATGATGGCCAAAGGTGCTTCATTCTTCATTGATTTTTCGGATCGGGTTTTACTTGGAAAGGAGTGTTAAAATTTATCTCAAAATAGGATTTAAATGTTCTTTTATTTAGTTTGTATTGTTTATCAAACAATACTTATTTTAAAAGGTTTGCTTTTTATGTAATTTATTTTATAACAAAGGTTTTTTTAACTGCAGGTCCCAACACCCTGTGTGCGTATAAGTATGTGCCAATCAAATTTTCAAATGTATATCCAAACGGTAACGCCACTGGTCTTGCTCCCAAGATGAATATAATTGATATCATCGATGACAGTCACTTTTCCGTAATGCGACGGTTGTGTTTAACATTTATTTAAATCGTACTTTTTATAAATTGGGTTTTAAAAATCCTACTTTGTTTAAATAGGTTTATTCTTTTAAATCTACGAAATGTGTGTTCTGAAGTAAATTATGGTGGTGTTTAGCACCAGCTGTGGTTATTTTTAGTTTTCGTGGGAAGTAAAGAGCAAAATTATTGACATATCGTAAACTGTGAGAAATTTATCATCTCCATAATCATCAGAGAAAATGCGCTATGGTTTTAGTTGAACGTTGAATTGTCTCATTTTTCAGCGTTGCTATGTTTTGAGAATTTCTATTTATACGTATAAAAACAATAGGTCAGTAAATTTTCTCCTAAAATTCCATAAAAAGAATAAACCTAGTACGTTTTTTAAATAGTTTATATTAGGCTTTTAATTTAATGGAGTTATGGGGGTCATTTGGAATATTTGGAGAGGTACATGGAAGGTAGGTAAAAATAATCCGACCTTTAACCAACTCCAATTAACACTGGCTTTTTTTTCTACTGGAATTGCTGCTACTATTTGGCCATCCAATACGATTATTATTCGATCATCTTCTTCATACAACCCTGACACTAGCTGGCCATCAGGCTATAACGGCAATAGAAGTCAACAAAATGTCCCCATATTAAAAAACAAAAATGCCAAAAGCCGATACGAGGAGTAAAAAACGTAAAGTGATGTCAAATGCTGCACAAATATAGGTAAAAAAATAACAGTTTAAATATATTATACATATAGATAGGTTTGGATGCAACTGATATTCTGTAAAATTTAATAAATCTGACCTTTTCTACTTTCTTGAGTGCTGGGAGTGGTTTCTCTGTCTCTTTCAGTTCACCCCAATCCGGGTCACCCTTGTCTTTGTCCCATTTTGCGTATTTTCTCTTCATCAGCATGGAACGGAAGTCAACACCAGCAGCACCTGCACATACATTTCATTATCACCAAGTTGTCCTCTCATAGCACTTTGCAGTGCATTCAAAACTTCAGATATTTTTTAGTAATATTGGAAACTTTAGTCATTTTTATTCTTCGTTCTGTGTGTAATTAATCACTTACCGGCTACGTAAAGCATCATCTCAGCTCTGTCCTCGCCATGGACATTAGATACAACCACTTTATATTGACCCTCATCGTTGGGCTTTACTTTGCGGATGCAAAGTGTGATCAGGTTCGTTTCACCGTCAGTGACAAATTTGAAACGACCACCTTCTATAATCTCCGTCATGCCCTGTAAAGGTAAACAGTTTAATGTTTTTTAATACGAAACGAGCAACATCCAATACTTTACAGGATGCTTAAAAGTTGCTTTTAGGGAATTGTAAAAAATCAAATTGACCGAATTGCAGAAGCAGAGTATAAACGAAATCGTTAAATATCGATAAATCCATAAATAAATGCTATCGAATATTATTATATTGATATGAATATTTCCCTCGTGTATTTCTATCAGCGTAATCTTCAATTTGTGTCAATATTTCAGTAGCCAATAGAGTTCTTTATTTTTGGACTGTAATGTATATTACTTAAACGTGTTACAGTAAACGATGTTATATTCCAATATTTTAAAATTAAATAACAACTCAAAATATTTTATATCCTTATTTACTGAGACTTCTGTTATTCCAGTATCTTATTTATTCAATTTCAAACGAAACCGTAACCATTTTCCAAAGTGTGATCACGATTGAAATAAAACGTAGTCGGTATTTTCGTCATATAATATAAAGGATTCTCTTTATGAAGTAAAGCTGATTTATATGAACATTTACATTAAACACTTGGAAAAAGTGTCTGCCAAAAACTTTTCGTTATTACTTGTTTATGCTATTTTTAGTGACAGAAGCTCGATTTGGAACAGTCGTATCGTATTACCGTTTTATATATGTTTTTATTCAAATACGACAATATTTTTCGCTTACCTTGTAGAATTTAAATTTAGGTGCGGGGTCACCCTCAACTTGGATAGTGATATAGGCAGTTTGATCTGAAAAAAAAAACAAGATGAGCAGTTAGTTTTTAATGTTAGAAATAAATTAAAAGCATACCTTCAACGGACGAGTAATTTTCTTGGTAATCGATAATGCTTGGGGGAGCTCCTTTAGGACCAGATGGTTTTAACGGGGTGGATGGTTTGTTAATGATGTCTTCCAGTTCAGCAACGCTGGGCCTTCTAACCTCTGAACTAGGACGACGACGCTGTATAATAGTTTTAATTGAGAATTTCGTTTGCTCCCAAGAGGTGTATAGTGTGATATTGTGTGTATTAAGTGTAAGTGTGTAAGTTCTCCATATTTTGGTATAAGGCATCAGCGTTTTTTATATCTAGCAGCAGTTTGTTTTCGCAGCAAGCGAGCGTTGTTATTTTCTTTGCCAGGCATTATTTTATTAATTTATTTGCGAGTATATACACTAACAAAATGTACACATCGTAGTCACTCTCTTTTTAATAGTTTGTAGTTTTAACTAAACAAACCATATTAGCAACACAAGTTTTAAAAATGTAAAACAAAAATGTCGAGACAGGAAGTGTATTACCGAAGAGTAAATATAGAAAAAAAAAAGTGGATGAACAATGACGAACATCGTTCGTGAGTGATCTTTCCGTATATTTGTTTCTTCGGCCTGTCTCCGATTGCACAAAAAAAAATTGAAATAAAAAAAGTTTTAAAATGATATTAGATACTGTTCTATTCTAAACATATAAATTAATTACAGTTTCTCATAAATCCGACACGTGTATTAAGAAACCTCCTCGAATCTAAAAAAATCGTTAGACACAGACATATAGATATTAACAATTTTCTAAATTTCGCTAAATAAATTCAAATCTACACAGAATTCCGCGCTAACCTGCTTATCGGTTGGATCCAATTCTCCCGGACGTTTTCTCGTCTTCAAATAAAAAATAGATGGAGTCAATAAAAATAAACAAATAACCAGTATGAATGAAATAAGTAAATTAAAAGTTAATGCAAATTAAAAAACCAACCCAAAATCAATCTGTTAAATCGTTTGGCGCTGATTGCGCCAAACCCAAGGTCAGTTTTGTGTATATCAACACAAATCTCACCTTTGGATCGAGCACCTCCCCGGGACGCAATTTTCCTCCCTGTTGGCATAAAATTTATTATAAATTTTGTATGAATCCTCTCTAATTACAATCTAATTAACTCTAATTACATCTAATTACACGGATATATAATAAATCTAGTGCTATACTCGATGCCCTGGCATTGATGATTGGTGATGGCTGGCTTGCTGGTGCTGTATTTAAGTAATAAATTCATGCGTGTTGTTGATTTTTAACTCATCACGGCGGAACGACGAGACCAGACTCGTTAGAAAAAAAAAGCGCCCTCGTTATTCCGCCACAAGTCCACCTTATACACGCACCACAATTTGCTTTTAAACATTTTCAGCAATGGTGGTACGTTGTAGAGTTACAACATCGAAAGCTTTGTATAAACTCATATTTAGACGCATATCCAGGCTGAAATGTGAATGAAAATTGAAACGATTAAAGGGCCAGGCGTACGATGCAGTTTAGTTCTCGTTAAGGTTACCTTTTTCTCCTCTAAAACCTCGCCGGGGCGTAGTTTCCTATGTTCCTATGACATAAAGTTAACATACGTAAATAAAACAACAGTAATGTATCCACGTCTCACAGGACACCGTACAGATACAGCTAAATTGAGAAACAGAAAGTGAGTTAAAAAAACAAACGGTAAATACCTCATCGGATATGATTAAACTAGCGCGTCGGCCTATGGATTCGGGTGGTATCAGAGAGCCACGTCGGCTTCCGGGTCCAGATCCTGGTTCCAAGGACTTTTTCCTCGGTTCCGGTGTTCTTTCTTTGCTCACTTCTATTTTAGGAGCATCGGGCGTTTTAATTTGCGGCAAACTCGGTCTAGGTTGTTCGCTGATGGTTGCCTGGGACGGTTGCTTCTCCTTGCCTTCAACCGCAAGGCTTGGCTTATCCTAGGAAAACCGCAACGTTGATTTCGATTCGTTCGTAAAATTTGCAAAGCGGGGTATGTCCTTCGAAAAGCTGGGATCGGTTGCAAAGCAAGGTTTGAGCGTGGCAGGGCTTAAAATATTTCGACTTGGAAGCCAAATTCAAGCGAGTATTTACCATTGAGTTTTATATCAACACCACATGCGAGCTGGATTAAGACTAAAGAATCTTTATAACCCGTATTAATTATAAATGTAACTTGGTATCAGCACAGATGATCTAAACGTATGCCAAGAATATGCGATAGAACTAATTACTGTGCATTCCTTGTTTTTCAGATCGCAAGCAATATTGTGAATTTAGGTAACATGTTGAGGTTAGCGCACAGCGTTGGCTAAAATGTTAAAAATACCTTAGACAACTTCGTTTTATCCCTTCCCGCATATTCTGGCGGGGTATGTTTCTCGAACTTCTCCAAAACTGGTCTTTCGTAATCGGGAATGTTCTCCCATTCGTTGTAATCGAATTTCTCTTCCTTCTTGGTCTTTTTAACGGCTAATTTTTCCTTATCGTCCGTTGTTTTCTGATGAAAAATTACATGAGAACATCCATTCATAAACACAACGTACGTAAAATAGAAGCGAAGTTTTTACAGCGTCTTTAAATATAGGAAACAAAGAGAGAGAAAAGATAGAGACAAGATGTTTATTCCTTGTTAGTGAGACGACGAGACGTTTACGTAGAACAGACAAACACAGAAGGAACAGACGTAGTAATAGAAAAGTAAAATGTAGTTTAGAGAAACATCGGCTGTCTCAAGTTTTACCTTTAGTTCATATTCTAGTTTAGCCTGTTCGCTTTTTTTCGCTTCTTTAACAACAGGTTTTAATTGTATGTTTAAAAAAGATTCCGCCTTTGCCATACTTTTAGGAGGAATACGTCTTTTGGATTCGACATCTTGCTGAATAATTAGAATAAAGTTATTATCTAGGAATAACTTGTCGCGATATATCACCGGGTTCAAAATTAATAAAAGTCAAAATTAAGGGACTTACCTTCAGCTTAACTTCTTCCGGTTGCGGCTTTTCTTCCGTCTGATAAGTGACAAAACACAATCGACGTGACACATCGGACGGCACAGGGCGTTAGAAGGTACATGGAAAAATACAACACCACCTTTTAGATAATATCCAGCAAACTTAGGGGCAATTGTTGATTACAAGACAAAGCAAATTCCAATTTCCTTTACATTAGCAAAGAGGTCACAAAAGGTCAAAATATTTATGAAGAACTTATAGTATGGTTAGTGTTAATATTGAACAGATATAAGAAAGGAAAGAGTTTAGTTAGAGCACATAGAAACGGAAATGTGGTGAAAATATTTTGACCGTTCGTTTTACTTAATTTGTTTTTTTGGATATAAACCATATCAGTTATGTTGACTAATGGAATTTCTGGATCTGGGAGAAACCTCATTGTTTCGTACAAAGGTTTTAATAAATATGTGGTATACAGGAACAAAGTATTTTGAGTTATTTACAAATTGTGTAGTGGAAGGCTTGGTTTTTGTTATGTATTTGTATGTGGTTTACCTTTTTCAATGAGGACCGTTTTCTCAGAAGTTCAGGTACTTCTGCTTCAGGGGCAGCAAGTGCAGTTTTCTTAATTGTAGTCGGGGCGGGTTTGGGTGTAAGTTTTTTGTCTTCCTGAGGTTTTGCAGGTTCGGGTTCTTTAGCAGCGGGAGCTTTAGGCTCTGGTACTTTAGCTGCTGGAGCTTTAGGTTCTGGGGCTTTTGGTTTTGGTTCTGGAGCTTTGGGTTCAGGTTCTTTAGCTGCTGGAGCTTTGGGTTCCGGAACTTTTGGTTTTGGTTCTGAGGCTTTGCGTTCGGGTTCTTTAGGTGCTGGAGCTTTGGGTTCCGGAACTTTTGGTTTTGGTTCTGAGGCTTTGCGTTCGGGTTCTTTAGGTGCTGGGGTTTTGGTTTCAGTTTTGGTTTCGATTTTCTCTGCGGCTTTAGCAGTGGTTTTTGTTTCAACTTTCTGTGTAGTTTTGGATTCTGGTTTAGGTTCTTGTTTTGGTGCCGCTTTGGGCTCCGGTTTCGGTTCTTGTTTCGGTGGCGGAGATTTGAGTTTTGTTTCAATTTTTTTCTCCGTCTCCTTGGTTTTTTTAGCAAATGATTCCTCGATATTGTTTTCTGGTGTTGGTGTGGTAGGTGTTTTCTGTACACGGACATTTATTTTAGTCACAGTAAACAGGGTTTAAAACAGATATACTTACGACTTCCGGAGTGGAATCCAATTTCTTGGAATCTTTAATAACCTGTGAAAAAGTAAGAATTTTGAATTGTGTAAATTACACGACTGATTTTAAGTTTCAGCGAGTGAAGCGAAGCAGTGATATAAGCGCCTTAGGTATGAATTAAATGTACCTTCTTTTTCTTATCTTCGGCTAGAGAAGAACGTCTAGATTCCGTTTTTTCTTCGTCTTTTGACGCCTGAGTAATTGAAGATTTACGGCTAGTTTTTCCATCTTGTATAATTTTTTCCTCAGTTTGTATAATAGAACTTCTACGTGATTCTGACTTATATTCTTCGGTCTGTATACGTTTTTTTATGTATTAAACCAATAATTTTTAAACAATTTTCTTTAATACTTTACCTTTTGTATGGATGAACGTCTAGTGGCTTTTTTCTCCTCAGTTTTGGTTTCCTAAAGACAAATTAACAAGACATAAAAACGTACACAAACACATATGAAGGGTACTAACCTCCTTCTTTGTCACCTCTTTCTTGTCGATATCATTAACCTTTTTCTTCTCTTCCTGTTTTTTCTATGTAAATATGTAAAAATTAATACAATTTTGTAATGTTTCTATGTATATGTAATATATTGTGTTATAAAATTGCGTAACAACGCGTGTAAAGAAAAATGTTTTACCTGTTCTATAATTTTCTTTTGGTCCTTCTTTTCTTCTTTCTTTTCCTCTTTCTTCTCCACTTTCTTCTCCACCTTTTTCTCTATAATCTCCTGAAACACAACATTATTTATTTCCAAATTGAAAAATTATTTAAAAAAATGGAAATCACTCAAAGAGAAGATAGAGGTACTTGTAGAAGCAGCTTTAGGAAAAAACCGTGTTAGAACATTGTATAAAGTAATACATGTAATGGAAAGTGTTAGGGTATGTATACAGAGTGAAGTGGTAAAAGTGAAACAGAAAATGTTGGAGTGTTAATAACAGAATGACAGTAAGAATATTTTGTCTCACAGAGATGTGTATGTTTGTAGTGTGTTGTTGTGTACCTTTGTAGATTCTTCTTCTTCTTCTTCGCTGCTTTCTACACTTTCGGAGGATTCCTCTTTTAGTACTTTTTTAACCTTTTCTACTTCTTCCTCCTTATATAATAATTAAAGTTTATTTTATACATAATCAATCAATTAAAAATTAATATATTAAATAATTAAAGAAACATGAACATTACCTCTTCTTCTTCCTCTTCTTCGTCTTTGGTTTCCTTAACTGTTAGAATGGCAGTACTCTCGGTTTCTCCGAATTCGTTTTTGGCGACAACTTTGTATGTGGCGGAATGTGAAATTTTGCATTTACTGATATTAAGACGCGTCACTGTGCCGTCGAAGAAAATTTTGAATTCTTCCGAATCCTTGATTACGGTCGAGTTTTTGTACCAAGTAATTCTAACAGTCTTGTCTTCTACTGTTAGGGAAGAAATAAAATCAACGGTTTTCCCTTCTTCGATTATCTGAAAAATTATGAAAGTAGTTGTGGGATTGATAGTAGGGTTGAAATCGTCTTACAATATTCGTCAAGGATGTAAGTTTCGGCTTCTCGCCTTTCGGTTTTTCTTCTGGAGGCAGTTCGGTAACCTCGACAGTTTGTGAAGTAGCTTCACCTTTCTCGTTTTTGGCAACCAATTTGTATAAACCTTTGTCGGTTTTTTGCACGTCGGAAATCTCCAGTTTAATAGCGAATTCGCCCTAGAATAAAGAGTGAGTACGTAATCCACTAAATATTAAAGGAAGGGCTTACGTCTTTGACTTGTTCAACGTGTACGGTGTGTCTTGTATCTTCCTTAACCGCATCTGCTTCCTTGAACCATGTACAATCCGGAGCGAACTTGCTGAGGACTTTGCATTCAACAATAACAGTTTTCTTTTTGATGATTTTAATAACTCTCGGTTTTTCCTTGATGACGGGGATGATTTCAATGTTCAGCGTAAGGTTGGCGTTAAGCTCACCAAACGTGTTCTTGATATTGCACTTATACAAACCAGAGTCCTCAGTTCCGGGATCGTTCAACTCCAACTTGATGTAGTACACTTCCTCTTCGACTTTCTCAAAACTAATCTTAATCTTAGAAGACTCAGTTACCTGTTTACCTTCTCTGTACCAAATTATGTCGGGTATGGGATTGGAACGCACCTTGCATTCCATTATAACCAGTTTACCGTTCTGTTGCGAGGTGATCCTCGGTTTCTCCACGAACGTGGGTCCATCGCCTTCCGGTTCCGGTTCGGCTTCGATGTTGAGGTTGAGGTTGGCGTTGCTTTCGCCGAATTCGTTCTTCACGTGACACCTGTAGGTTCCACCGTCGGGCGCGGACGGATCCTGCAATTTCAGTTACGTGAATGCGGGTTTTGCTCGGGACAAGCAGGTACCTATTTCGTTAGTAGCGCTTGCATTTTTATTTTGAAGGTGTCGAGCCGATTCAAATAAATAATCAATTAAGTAACTTGTTTTTGAGGTTAGATATCTATATTTACTAATTCCATTGGCAAGAAAGCCAAAAGTAATATTCAAAATGTTGAAAAAATATGTGTTTTCCATATTAATACTTAGATATATCACTCTTATATTACTAGATATTGCTCGTGTAAATCAATCAATTAAAGAATCTTATTAGGTTAGATGGAATGAGGTTAGATATCTTTTGGATATCTGGATTTAATATGATTTTTAGGAAAATTAGCTTAATGCCTTTAAGGTAAGGCGAAAACTATCGTTTTTGGTAGTATTACCTTGTTTTGTTTTTTGTAAAGTTGTAAGCGTCGAAATTTGAACCTACTGGAACGCGTTCTGGTGGCTATTGCACGCAAAATAACAGTTTTTATTTGACAGTGGTTTAACTGCACTGCAGGTTGTACTTTGCACTTCTTGCCAAATAGTGTTTAAACTGCAAATTCTTGCAGAGAGAGAGAGGGAGAGCTTCTCAAAGATGGTCTGATATAGTTTTCTAATGACAGGGATAAAGACCAGCGCGAGTTTCAGTAGGTTTAAATGTGAACGATATTCGGGATGTACCTTAATCTCAAGAGACAGCTCGTAAACGTCCTCTTCGACATCAAGGACTTTGATTTTGATTTTAGATGACTCTTTAACGACGTTGGTTCCACGGAACCAGGTAACGTTGGGTTTTGGTTTGGCTTTGCACTTGCATTTCATTGTAATAAGGGTGCCGCTTTCATTGGGGATAATTTTGGGTTTCTCGATGAAAGAGGGAGCAAACCCAGCAGCGTCGTCGCCACCTGTAACACGATTAAGTTACGTATGTGTGCTAGAGGCTGGCTTTAAATCAAAGGCCATGCTCATGCAAATGACAATAACACAGTTCGAAGAGAGAGAGTTGGTTGGTTGACAAGACGGCACTGGAACAAATTGGAAATGAGTAACGGAATTGAGACGTTTCACAGACACAGAATACAGATATAGAACAGTTTTGGACGTGGTTTCTGCGCATCATACCTTGGAAGTTGAGCGCAATATTAGCATTGCTTTCACCATAAGCATTGAACGCGTTACATCTATAATGGCCGCCGTCCTCGCGGGTCGGGTTAGCGATTTCTAGAGTGAGAAGATAAGTATCTTTGGTAGTGGTCTTGCGCAACATGCGAACGCGCGAGCTGTCCGCGATACTTTTCTCGCTTTGGAACCATGTGATATCCGGATCGGGGTTGGCTTCGAGGAGGCATTCCATGATGAGGACATCCCCCTCTTGCCTTATGGTGGGTTTCTTGGGGAACCGGGGCGCCTTGCCGTCTGGGATTCTGCGAAAGAGATTTGGTCTTTAGGGGTGGGGGGCGACGTGCGGGGGTTGGGTATGTCTTACTTTGGCCTTTCGGTAGCCTCGAAGTTGAGGTTGATGGTGGCGACGCCCTTGCCGTACTTGTTCTGGGCGACGGCCCTGTATTCGCCGCGGTCGTTCTTCTTGACGTTGTTGATTTCGAGTCGTGCCAGGTAGTAGAGCTTCTGGTCCACTTCCATCGAGATGGTATACCGGCTGTTCTCCTTGATCTCTTCCCTCCCGTGGTACCTGGATCAAGGAGGGTGAGTATCTGGTAATGCTAGTGCGGGGGTCATACGTACCATTGTATCTCAGGTTTAGGGTCGCCCACGCAGCGACATTCGAAGGTGATTTTGGCGCCGTCGTCGGTCTGTCGGATGACAGGGCGCTCAGTAAACGTCGGTCTGATGCCCTCCTTCTCAGGCACAGGTGCTTCATCGCCTAATGCATAAACTCTCCTAAACTGGCTATCGTGACATAGGACAGCCAGCAACACTCGCGCAACTTACAATGCTCACCGAAAAAGAAAAAGCTCAGCTTTTAATCATACGGCTCAACAGTGTTAAAAGTGATATATATAATATATATATAGTGTAGTACAACTCTGAAATACAAGTGTCACATTTGCAAGAACATGGCCTTTAAAAGTTATATATGTTAAAAAAAAAGTACAAGTGTTGATGGTGGGGGGGCGGGGGTTTCGGGGGGTTCTGCCGGTGAGGAGCCTCGCGTTCGGCCTAAAAAAATACCCAAGTGCCACAATCCGTGTTCGCCTGGATGCTCGCTCGGGGGATGGATTGCGTTGCGAGGATATCTCTATACTAAGCTCTCAATCACACAAAACGGTTTCGGAATTTAATGTACACTGATTAGAAATGGATTGTTAAAAAACTGCAAATTAAAAGCTGAGCTGAGATTAAGCGTCGGTTAGTCCATTGTACTGTGCACGAGTGCTGACTTACTTGTCCCTAACACCTGCTGCTGCGTTTTGGAGTATATAGGGGCTAAGTTTACAAAAAAAAAGTGTAATGCGGGGGGGACTGTTTTGTGTTGAAGGGGCTTGGACAGCGTATTGTTTGAAAGAGTAACAGTTCCTCGTCTGAGTAGCTTCCTAGAGACTGATGCCATAAGCTCTACTCTATCACGTACATGTTAGAAGCCGTCTCTAAAAGCTTCCGCGGGTTAATTTCAATGTTATTTCACGGATTTTGGCAGGAAAAAAACGAATTAATCGGTATAAACTACCACCTCAACTTCTTTTGCGGACACTCAAAGCAAGGACAAGACAACACCACATTTAACTTACTGTCAAAGTTAAGGCTGATCGTTGCATTACTCTCTCCCAAATCGTTCTTTGCAGTGACCTTGTATTTGCCAGCATCCTCTACCGTGACATTTTTTATTTCAAGGGTTGCAAAGTACGAGTGTCCATCTTTGTCTATCCTCAACTGAAATTAACATTGCTCATTACGAATCAAACGCACTTCTCAAAAGGTTCTCTCAAACTAATTTTGTATTCTATCGCATGTGGAATAAACGAATATATCAATCAACCCTAACAGATCCCGGTTAAAATATTAGTTGTAGAGAACGTTTGTAATAGCACATTTAGCTCAAGCGACACTGGTCGTAATTAAAAAACGATTGGTTTTGGAATTTAACCAAGGAAATCCAGATATTGTTTGTAATTATTTATTTGCTGCATTTTTTTATTACTTTTTTTTTTTTTGTTATTTAACCAGGCATTCCTGCGGCACCTAAATGTATTTATTTTAGAAAATTTTTAATTTCTTTTTCTTTAAGGTGTGGTAGAAGTGCCCGATTAAATAGGGCCTGAGAAAAATCCAGTGATATTTTGCGTAAAATCAGTTTAAGTGTTTGCGGAACGGCATTTCTGATCGCGTCCGTTTTAATTCGACAAAATAAATCAAGTCCACTGCCCAGTAATAATTGTAGTGGAATGAAATAATGTCAGATCTGCTTACAATTATACAAAATAACGTTAAATAATTTCGGTTTATAAAACAGAGGCTCGTAAACAGCAGGTGTCACATGCAAAAATAGAACATTTCGTGTTGCCAACATTTTAAGCACTTAAACTGAATACGAAAATAGTGTTTTTAATAAATACGCTATACAGATAATTTGATTTAACAACTGCATCGTTACGTATGCGATTAAAAGATGTGTTTAGAACATAAAAAAAAAATGTGGAGGTACCTTATGACGGGGACCTTCTGAGACAGAATTGCCATTGTGGAACCAACTGACGACTGGACGGGGATCGGCCTGGATTCGACATTCAAAAAGTAGTCTTTTTCCATCTTCTTCTTGCCGAATGGCGGGTTTCTTAGCGAATGTTGGTGCAAGGCCATCTATTTGTCTACACAAATAATTATTGATAGATATATTAATCGAGTAGGTACTGTATATAAATTCGGTAAAATATTTCGTCGCGTAAAATATTAGATAAATAAATTATAAATATAGTGTTGACTGTTTGGAAATATGAGCTGTAACGTAAATGTTGCGCGCACCAAGATAGGTGACTAATTGTGGATATCAAAATTTGGCAAAATATCCCGTTCCGAATCCGCAGCCAGTCACATACTTATATAAGTTTATCCGTATCGCATTTTTTAGCATATACTCACTTTTCTTTTGGCTCGTCCATAGCTGAAAGGAGAAATATGTTACAATCGTGCTTTTTAACGGAATTTGGTGCGGGACGCGTCAAACGCCAAGCCATCCGAATAATTTAAATTACAAAATCATACTTTCGAGTACAACTTGGCATTTAACGCTGCCTCGGGGGAAAATGTACTTACGGCTGAAGTTGAGGTTGATGGAAGCCGCGACTTCTCCCATAGTATTCTTCGCTTTGACCTTATAAAGGCCAGCGTCAGTTTCGATAACATCGTCCAACTCGAGAACTACGAGGAACTTGCTGGTACCTATGGACTGTATCTTGAAATTGGTCCTACTGTCTTCAGATAATAGTGTATCGCTGCGGAACCATTCGATATCTGGTTTCGGGGACGCCAATAGCTGGCATTCGAAGATGAGTTTGTTCCCATCATCTTCCTGCCTCAATTGAGGCTTCTGCGTAAAGCTGGGAGCGAAATCCTCTGCCACCCCCATAGCTTTCGTATCGTTTCACCCCGATAAAGATGACATTAACCCGGCCCTGGAAGGGGATAATTGACATTTAGAACTGTAAAATATTGGAAAAACAAAAGGTATTTTGATAGAGTGCAATTTAAGGCAGAACTCTGTACGTCACACGATAAAAGTGGTTATTCCTAAGTAATGGCACTGTATCAGCACTCGACTCCACAATGACGCGGTAAGCTAATGGAACTTACTTCCAGTGAGGAACGTGAAGCTTAAAGAACAGCCAAAACACTCACTTCACTGCACACACTAACTCGCGTTGTCGCGTGTACACTTGGTCCCGTCGCAAAACGCGTCGTCGCGGTCGTTCGTCTATCCTAGAGTTTACTTCGTGGCCTTTAGAGCACTGACTAAAGATACTTAGTGTGTACTCCCGAATCTAAACCAAAACGTGACGGCGGCAACCCCCGCCAGCGCCACTCCTACCCCCACCAGTTGCAGCGCCTTCAACAATTGCTCACGGCTCTGCCGTTATTGAAGAAAAATACCTTCCACCTCCACCGAGCCGTTGTGTCTCCTCATGTGACTGACAGTGACTAATTGAGAGAATATTCAATCGCCTCTCAATGAAATGTCGCTCTATGGCCCTTCTCTAACTGCAGTACCTTGGAATTGAGTCGGTCTCGAACGTTCGAACAATCACGCTTCAAAATCTTCTGGTGCTGCATCATCGACAGTCCTTATTTTATTCAAAAAAATACAGGTTGCCAAGGGTACTGTCGAGAGGTTCATCTCCAGCTTCATTGCAATCGCAATATATCCACGTCATGTAGAAAAAAAAAGTCTGGAGGTGTTTTTTTTTATGCTCTGTATAGTTTGTATTAAAAAAAAAAACAGTTTTACACTTGACTCAACCGCTTTCGCAATAGGGAAAATTACAAGCAAATTGTGTTTTTTCAAGCGTAACACTGACCTGCAGTTAATATTTATATATGTGGTAATTAACTGGGAATTGAAAAAGTTGGGCGCGTAGGATCACAAACGAAAAGAATATGGGTACATCATTAAAAGAAAAACTGTATACAATTCTACAGAAATAACCGTAGGCTGGTGTATTTTTAGAAGAGACCAGAGAAAAAGAGATGTAATCTTATACATAGGCTAGAACCGTGCCAAGCCATATAGGGCGGCGCGGTTCGAGTGAAGACGACTCTAGTCGTGGCGGCGGCCGATCTGCTGCAGCATCTAGAGCTATCACCGCCGAGCTACTGACGCCGAAAGATGCGCTCGGCGTCCCTCATGCCAGGACCTGCACTGGTCCTGGACAACGCAATGGCGCTGGTTTTTTTTTTGACGTTTGTGCCCCACCGCCATCAAGTGGTCGCTCGGCACTAATCAAAGGTTTAGGCAGGGACGCCCAACTGCCGGATAACGTTAATTTTCCTTTTTTTTTATTACAAATATCTCGACGAATTATTAATCATTAACAGGCTATAAATAAGTTACTTAGTTTAATTAAGCTGATCGCCAAAAAGTGCAAGAATCGCATTAAATTAAAAGTGTAAAAGTGACTCAAGGCTTCAAACTTTTACTAGTGAATATGAATCACGTATCTAAAACAAAACGCATCTAAATTCGTATTGCTAAGACTACACAGGGCGTTTGCGAACCTGGGAAAATCATAAAAAAGCATTTAGAAGTTCAAAACTGTGAACTTTTCGCTTTTTCGGTCAAATGTTTAGAGAAAACTTAGGAAAAATTTATTTGGAAAGTGCGGAATTCCGAAACCTACCAAAATCGAAGCCACAAGTAAAATGCGATTACATTTTCGAAATCTCTCTCTTTTTTATATATATTTCTAGCTATTCAAAAGATTAGTAGAAATTATTAGAACGAATCCGCCCAAAAGTGGGCGACGGAAATAATGTTTTCGAACATACTGTACCAGTAAATCCGATATAAGAAACTCGAAAATGACCTCGGTTTGTCCAAATGTTGTTTAGTTTTCGAGAAATAGACAAAAACAATCATAAAGCCCTGCAATTCACTCAAATTGAAATCCTACGCAAAATCTGATAGTATTTTCGAAATTTACGTGCTGGACTAGTACTAGCAAAATTTTTCTAAAATTTTCGGGGCCAGATAAACATTTTTATTTTTCCAGCTATTCTAAAGATTAGTAAAAATTAAACAAAATGAATTTTAGGTGAAATAATCGTTTTCGCAGATATTTTTTTGTTACATACATAGTAAATCGAGTACGAGAAACTCGAAAATGATCTCAGTTAGTTTATATGTCGTTGACCAAAATATAGATGAAAATCTATCGAAGACAATCGCAATCATGCAAAATCCGATACCATTTTCGAAATCTACACCCTCGAATCAGTATAGGAAAATGTCTTCAGAATTTTTAGGATCCAGCTAAAAATTGTTATTTTTATCATTCGAAAGGCTAGCGAAAAATTAAAGAAAATTAATCCGATTAAAAGTGGGCGAAGGGGTCGCTTTTGCGCAAAAAAAAATTGTAAATTAAATGTGAGATGCTCGAAAAGAACCTCGATATACTCGCGTCTCGTATATTTTCGAGATACAGACAAGAATTCTCTGGAGTGTAGCAAAATCGTCCACTTATGTCACGATTACGATCGTCTGCTTAGCCTTTTTTAATTTAATTTATTCTCATGCAAGGTAGAATAAAAAAATCTCGAAAATTGACAAGCTTTTAATTTTAGTGTTTTTTGACATAAGGTATTTTAACAATTAAGACCATAAAACTGTCAACAGTCAGAAATGTTACAAGTTTTACGCAGCCCACTTAATATAGAAAATACGAGGTCAAGCAAAAGGCATAGAATATATTTTCGATAATAAATATCATTTTTAAATAGTATGTTGAGTGATTGAAGATATATTGCCGAGTACAGCTAATAATGAATATAAATTAAAATAACAATACGAGTATATTGCAATAATGGTAATGACATTACCATTATTGATAAAATACTACTCACGCTATTATTTTTTTGAGACACCAGTTATAATTAGTTTTACCAAATGTAACAAATACCTAATTAAAATTAATTCTCCTACATATTTTCTTATTTTTGTTGGTGGAAGATTTGAACTTCGATCTGGGTTGATTTAGTAAATAGTTATTTTTAATTTGGAAAATAAAAAATCCATTATGTAATAGCGCTACTTTCATATTTCGCCACATTCCAATTTAAAATAGATTTTACTGTTGCTAAAAAAAAACAAGACTATTGCCAAAAATTCATGATCAGATTTTCTGTATAAACAACACCGTCGTTTCTGTACAGGTAAAAAAATTGGACTATCTAGATTTTTATAATGTAGCTTTTAATGTCACCAAGTACAGTGTCCTGTATTCAAAAGGTGCGTAAAAAATATTTCTCACATTTAATTTGAAATTATAAAATATTTCATCATTAGTACCTATATTTCGCATAGCATAGCATGTATTACTGCATATAGAATATCAGTAAAATAAAGTTTTATAGGAAATGTGTGCAAAGTATTTGTATATAGTACAAACTTTCAATGTCTTGCCACACTATTATGAAATATGACCTTTGTGGAACCTATGAATGTCATTACCTATTTTCTAAAAAAGAACCAGGGCAACACCTATAGCTTTGTCTTGAAATTTCTGGCAAAACACCAAAGTTCAAGTAATATTTTCAATATCTTACTGTATCCTACTAATTTTCGTAAATATTTACGGTGATTAAAAAAAATTGAAACAACTTAAAAAAATGGGAAAAAAACATTTTTGTTGAGCTCAACCAGTCAGTACTGCTTAAAACGTTGATTTTTATCATAAATTTATTTTGCATGTATAGAAAAACCTGCAAAATTAGTTGAGAATGTGATAAATACAGCATAAACAATAATGGTTTTATTTAGTACGGTAAATATAGGATTTAAATTAAAGCAAGTTATTTGAGGTTGGATAGACATTAATTTTCAACCCACATATTATTTCTAGTCCAGTATTAGTACACCCACATGTAGAAATTATTTTATAAAAATCCTCTTTGCTGTTCTTTACTATTGGCACTGGTTTCAGATGGCACTGACTATCCTAAATAAAATATTTTAGAGGTCTTCGGTATTTTCGTGATATAATCTATTTCAAAAATAAAACTTTCGAAATAGATATTTACAATTTCTCAATATTCTTGAGTTCCTCTGGAAAATAATAGGTGATATTTTATTTTATTCGCCAATAAAATAAGCGTCTATTTTTTAAGCCTAAAGGTTCATTACGAAAACTCCAGCCAAGTGTTCATAAATTTTACTGTCATATTACTTCAAACATGTTATTGGTTTACATTGTAAATGTTTATAAATATCGTTCAATTGGGTCTCACAACTTATGTAAGTGAGATACTTGAATTAGTTTTATTGAGGTACCAGTAAATGTTGACTTTCAACTCGCTCTCTCTAGCCAACTTCCTTAAAACATAAAATTAATGCTATCAAAATATAAAATAAAAAAATACTAAAATTAAAACAGTAATTTTTGTGCAGGTTTTTAAAAGCCAGTTCCTTGAAAGGGTTAATAGAACAAATTGTTTTAAATAAAAAGGTTCATATGAACGTCGTGAGATACAGGGTGCTGAAATTAAAAATGATATAACGTTTTCTGAAATATCCATGAGGATGTTTGATATAGACTGATGAAACTTGGACCACTGATTTATCTAAATAGTAACAATCTCCTAAAATGATTTACAAACGTGTGAACCATTGTCGGAGATACCACTAGGAAACTCAGAATTCTAAGGAAAAAGCTCTTACATTTAGTTCGAAGAAGAACCCGTTTTAGAATTAAGTAAATCGAAAGTAACAAAAACAGTTGATGAGAATTTTTTGTTAGAAATACAATTTTAAACATAACCTATTGTGTCAAAAAATCATTGGCGTAGAAATTTTTAATTTTGCATCTATTCAAAAGAGTAGTAAAAATTTAGTAAAATTGTTTCACAAAATAATATTTTCTGGACATTAATTATGTGACAAGTAATTCGTGTACGAGAAGTTCGAAAATGGTCTTAGTTTGTCTGGATCTCGTTTACTTTACGAGATATACACGAACATTTTTCAGGAACTTTAATAAAACGTTTTCAGGTGTCAAATATTTTTCAAACTGTTCAGAAGGTTAATAAAAATTAAACAGAGTATTCAACACACTGATATACCCAACACAAGATACTAAAATCGCAACGTTCACTTTTTATAGTGCATCCTTAGCCCGCAGTTATTTTCAGATTGAAAATAAGAACGTGGCATTTAGGTATCAACGTGCACCTTGGGATTTTCTGGGTAACAGATTGGTGTTTATATTCCTGAAAACTGAAACAACGCAGCAGATAAAATGATTACGCTTGTCTATAGACAGATATGTTTGAATTTGTTTATTTAGTCGACCTTTAA